GACTGACGGTCAACCGAAGTAGGAGCACTCACAGTTACACAACCTTGTGTATCCTCAATCAACCTAACATTCGCGGCAGGGTCCGATGGCGTCGAAACACTAGAAGGCTCATTCGATGAAGTTGACCGACTAGTGACTATAGGTGGACTGCTCACACTTTCTGTCTCTTTACTATCGCTGTCACTACTAAGATTCTGATGACTACTATTTCCATTGCTAGTCGTAGCATCCGAAAGAGAACGAAGTTTAGGCTTCTCAATAATAGTAGCATCATGTTGTTTCTTATGCTTCTTAGCTTGGGTAGCAGTATGTGAGCGTAACGTACGATCATTTCGACGACGATGAGTGTCTTTCAACCTCCATCGATCACTATTACTCGCAGGAGTATCATCAATGCTATTATCGTTAGTAGCCGCAGCTGTACAAGCAGCAGTACACTTCTCATGACATCCAGTCGACTCATGCACAATGGCTAACTCTACTCGATCAACATTGCCTTCCTTACTAGGAATGCTCTTAGCCTCTTCTATCTTATCACTGTTGGTAGTGCTCATCTCGAAGCTTGTAGTACAAGTCAATGATGGTGGAGTGCGACAGGTGGACAATTCCATGCTCTTTTCCTCATGCTGCGTGTTCAACACGACTCCTCATAGCACCTAGGGTACCGAATGTTAGCCTTCTCAGTACTGCCATCACTGTGGCTGAAGCTATTGCCACCGACGCCTACATTCTCCACGCTCAAACATCCAATTTCGTCTTGATCCGAAGTACTCAAAGAAGCTACATTGGCAACATCAACCGAAGAAACAGCACTACCTATAGTGATTCCACATAAAAACTCCAATATAAGTACAAAATATAGAAATAATAATAATATACAATGATAAAATCTCAAAATGGAATCAAATAAAGTTCCAAAATGTTAGCAGAAAAAGTCAGTCATATCATAACACAAATATATATACATGGAGGGATTTTCCAAAAAACAAAACATTCAAAAAAGTTTCTACATGGAACCTTCAGGGCAAAAGGAAAGCACGAAGCTTGGTTGAAGAAAACTGGTGGGCGGCCTATGCTCCACTGGGGGTAACAGACGTAAGTAAATGAGTAATGCTAAATCGAAATGTAACCCACTCTATAGAAGATTAAGCTCTCTAGTTTGCTTGAAACATAGGAATGGTAGAGACAGTGCGTTCCGACGTGAAGTTGAGCTCAAACAAATGCAGTAACTAAACATATCGCAAACATAAGACAGACCATCACCACAAGATTCTCGTTATATTCGGCCTCAGACGTTCCAGCCATTCCAACCCTATTTATAATATTATGCTGAAAATAACCGTCTGTGGAAATGGCAAGTGTATCTTGTAAAATAGCCATCAAACTGAACATCCCATTTCAGTAAGTGTCAACAAATGTAACAAATTGATCTTGCCTGTAAACTGGCACGCTTCATTTAACACACCGATTTTTGAGAATGAGGTTACTTCTCATTATTACAATTATTGATGATCAGATTTTTGTGGTTTCAAGTTGATCTAAAACCGAATATGAAACATGGCTATCACAGATATTGCAGCTTATGGGGCATGAAACTTTCAATGATTTGAGGTGTAAAAGCTGGAGTTGGAGTCAATATATATTAACTGACATTTCAAAGACCAAAATTCATGAACTGCCAAATTAATCGATGTGGCAGAATCATGCTGCTTTGCTTCGACAAGAAACATCACAGCCACATCTTTCGAGGTTACTGTCAAAAAAATGTTTCCAGACTTGGAACACTTTCTCAGAAAAGGTGACCGTAGGCTCCTCAATGGACAGCTTCAAGAAGAGACTTGATAAACATGCCCAATGCATGCCCTGGGATCTGCTAGTTGTTATTATCACGATCTCCCCAGATCAACAACTTAATCTACCTCACCTATTATCTCTGTTTCCTCTACCTTGCTTACACTTCGGTGCCTCTCGAACAATCTTCATTACCAATCGATAAACTAAATTATATATATATTTAATGAGTTCAAAAATCTTCTTATTATTAGCATTAGAACTTTCTCTTTATAGTTTTCCAAATCGCTATTAAATGATCTCCAGTCTAGTAATGTGAAAGCTGGTGGTACCCAGAATCCCTATTGCCCTGAAACAAGTGTACTCATTCAAACATACTCACAAATAACTGCCGACTGACCATAATTAGACATATGAGTGGCTAAACCCGATTCATTGAAATCGAGCGCAAAGAAATCAATTAGTTTATACTAGCTTATGAAAAAGATATAGGATATTGGAAATCTCGCGGCTCACTTGAGTTTCGCGTTACCTAATGCTGGTTTTGCTTGCGGACTGTTTTTCTCTCACATTTTTACTGTCACTAATTGTTATTAGCTGCCTCCATCGGCGTTTGGTTTTACATTTTTTGTTTAATTCGGCATAACATGACATATGTTTGCAATATGGCTAGAATATAGACTAGACTTTGTCCTCATGGCTATTTGTGCAAACTTATGGAGTGAAGAGTTCATCTTCATAGAAACTATCAGTACTTTGAGCTAATCAAGAATAATAGTAATTAACTTTGGCATCTTATAACTCACAGGAGGCTTGCATGGATGTGTGAATTACGACATGTGAATTTCCTACCAGACAAGTTGCTAAAGTAGGAAACCAGTAGTGAAAATGAGCTTCTGTACGCTAATAGCATTCTCTCGTGAAAATCATTTTTCGTACGTGATAGTACGAAATATTTTTGTAGATACATTCCAGTCGCTTGCAATCGATACCATGTAATTATCAAACAATAAATCAACAAGTCTGTGTGTTTGATGTCATCATCCGTTTCCGACTTTCTGTTCATCATGTAGATTTGTTTCTAAAATTCCCCTCCCTGAAGTCAACCTTATGTCCTCCGTGGATATCAACTGGAGAAATCATATAGCTATTTAGTCATAATTCGAAACAAAATCAAAGTGATTCTCTGCAAATATTTTTAAGAGTAGTGATTTAATGGGCAAAGTCATCTAAAAGCACTTTCCTGCTGAATTATTTGTATTTCGTGCATGTTTCAACCACTTTCATATTACTTTTTGAAGCTGGAAACGACGAAATAATCAAAATAACCATTTTTAAAACATGACGCCATTCAGCAATAAAATAGTTGTATCATTCGTTAATTTGTAGTAACTCCTGAGCTTTGGCACTTTGAAACGTCATTAGACATAGAAACGGGAGCCAGTTGTGATTATTCTGTTGTTTCCCAACGTGTTGTTTTTACGAATTGAGTGACTCGGAATCAAATACACTGATTTTGCTAAACTAAGCTCTACCGTTTATTCCATACTTAGTGTTTTTGGTATGTCAAGTAGTTTTCTACTTCAGAATTGACCACAAAAAATCAAATTTGGCAATAAGGAAGTGACCGTCATCCTGTGACTTTGCACTATGTCCCTTCATGTTTAGAATTACTGACATAAATCATCAACTCCCTCCTAATGAGTTATACAGATTTACTGGTCTATTAGTTTATTTTTGTTTTTGTCGGTTTTCAAAATTCGCAGGCCTTGGCATAATACTTCGGGATTTTCCCTCAAACCGTTAGGACGGGACAAGAGCCAGGGTTGGTCCTTGGCTTGTTGTGTACGTGGTTCTCCCTTGTTTTTCGGATGAATTTTACAGGTCCTAGTCATATTTTTAGACTGAAAATCTAATTAGAAAGCATATAAAATCAGGTGTGATTAAGAGCTTAGTGTGGTTTTGTATGAATGGCACTTAATATCATTATTATTATTACTCAGATGATTACGAGTCATGAAAACTTCGATTTAATCTTCTGTTTATAATACAAGGTATCTAAAATCTTTTATTTGTTCCTACCAAAATGAATAAATACTAGTAAGATCCATACCATGCTTTATGTATTGCTTCTGACCTCGATCGAAATATATCCACCAATAACCTTGAGGCTCTGCTTCTTTTTAGTCATTAAGCATCGAGCTAGTTTTTTGAAATGAAGGTCGAGAACTGGCCTAATCGTTTCCGTTGTTCCTTTACTAAACAGCCTAATTTATTCATAAATTTTGCTGCGATCGAGTCATTTACTAATCGGCTATCATAATACAGAGAAAGTTTTGATTGTACGAAATACTAATTGTAATGAGCTAGTCTTTAAAGAACCATTAGTTCTCACTCATATGGTTTTATGAATCACTTGTGTGAATTAATTCTCTTAAAAACATGAATACTTAAGTATGCTTGATATAAAATCGCATTAAATAATATTGATACAATTGTTAGACACCTTACTTTCCGAGAAAAATATTCACTTCCTTATATTTCTCTGTCCATCATAATGTAGTATCACAGTATGACCATTAGTGAATTCCTTTTTCTTTACGTGATTTAGTGTTTACATATTTGTAGGTGTGGTTAAAAACGTTTTTCTAAAAGATTTTTAAGTTCAATAAATGTATTTATTGTGAAAATTATTACAGGATAAGGTGAAATATATTTTGGTTACTGGTGGTGTTATCAGCGGGATCGGCAAGGGGATTATCTCTAGTAGTATTGGGACTATTTTAAAAGCATACGGATGGAATGTTACGTGTATCAAAATTGATCCTTATCTAAACATTGACGCTGGTACCTTCTCTCCCTTTGAACATGGAGAGGTATACGTTCTGGATGATGGCAGTGAAGTTGATCTTGACCTGGGAAACTATGAAAGATTTCTAAATATAACACTAACTAAAGATAATAACATCACAACGGGAAAAATTTACCAGAAAGTAATTGAGAAAGAACGCCGTGGAGATTATCTTGGGAAAACAGTACAAGTAAGAATGTTTCACCAAAATTTCTGACTAGTGTGTCTGTATATTTCATGCTAATGTTATCCTGTAAAACCTTATCACTTTATCACTATCCCCATTCATTAATGTTTGCAGTTTTTTCAGCTTAGTCTTTTTATGTTTAGGCGTGGTGTTACAAACCATTTCATTAACATGCTAATTTCTAGTTTGCTCAGTTTATATACTTATCTATCTGGTGATTGTTTGATATTAAATTGGTTGTTTGGTGGCATTGACATATTTCCTGATATATCATTACACGAAAATGTACGTTATAGATGATTGTGATATTTAAGCTGAAAAAGTTGATTGATAGTTTATTTCAAATCAATATATTCTAAGCTGTTATTGATTTTCTTTGTTTTAGGTTGTCCCTCATATCACAGATGCTATTATTGAATGGGTTACTAATGTTTCTCAAATCCCAGTAGATGAAAGTGGTTCGACCCCAGAGGTATGCATTATTGAACTTGGTGGTACTATCGGTGATATTGAATCTATGCCGTATGTTGAGGCTTTCAGACAAATGCTTTTTCGAGTAGGAAGTGTTAATTTCTGTTGCGTACATGTTAGCCTTGTACCTCAGCTTCAATCTGTTGGAGAGCCTAAAACCAAGCCTACGCAAGTTAGTTTTTATTTAATTTTCTTACTTTTAACTTTGTCCCTTTTCTATAGACACACCATCATATATACATGATAGATTACATGTCTGAAACGTCAGGTTTTCAATTGTTCGTTTGTTCTGTTTAATTATAGTATGCATTAGTTCGTAAAGAACTACATAGTTTGTCCAAGTATATTTCCATTGTATTGAAAGAGTTTGTTATTGTTTTTTTTTTGATGATACTTCTGGTTGTAAAAATGAATAGTAGATAATTAGTCGATATATAATGCACAAAGATACAGTTTGATCAATAAATAAATAAGGAAATTAACCCAGTAATCTAATGTTTGGATATGAGGGTCAATAGTTCTAATACCTGGCTGCCTAAACCGAAGTATTTGAAGCATGGCTCAAACCTATGACTTAATGCCCGAAAGTAAAAGGTTTTAATCATTATATCACTAAGTATCTAATAACCTTTCATAAGTCTAAATCATTGACATAATTAATTGCTAACATCTGTTCAGCAAGAATTTTCTTTCTGTACAGTATTCTTACGTAGATATTTCAAGTGCATGGATTTGTAATAGATTACACAAACAAATAGTTTTCAAACCCACAACTATAAAGGACAATACAATTCATGAAATTAACAGTGGGACTCGTGAAGGTCATTATTTTTTACCAGGCAGTTATTTTCTAATTATGTAACAAGATTTTTCGATCTTTTCTCAGCTGTTTTATCTATTTATCAGTATTCAAGTACTTATTTCTTCGAAAATTTAATTTTTTTTTTAATGGATGTAATAGAATTTATCTGTAACCTACGCTACTGTTTCTGTTTTTCTTTACTGTAAATGTTTCATTTTCATGAGTTAATGTTCTCTCTTAATGTACTAACAAACTAAGTAATCAGTAGATTTTTCCTTATCATATTTCCCCTTTAACAGAATGCAGCTCTTCTGATATAAATTTCAACTTTTTTTTGAACCACATCAGTCTAGTTCACTACAACTTTCTCGTTCATGTAAACTACCAAGAATGGTACATATTTAGTGCATTAGATTTTATATTTAGGTGTAACTTATTGATTATCAGTAAAGGGTTATGGAGATTGTCAAGTTTCAGTAAAATTATAAACCGATCAATGTTAGAATAAGATGAATCAATTTCTTGATATTATAATGTGATGTATATTCATCCTGTGAGAAATTTCGGATTGACGTCAACTGAATCCCTTTGACCACTCCTTATTGGCCCCTCTCTTCTATCAGGAACTAGTTTATTTTTATTAATTAAGTGGTTTATAGTGTTCTAAAGTTTTTTGATTTCAGATACTTTTAAATGATATCCCACCTGTGTATTCACTTTTGCTGATATTTATGATGCAAACGTTAGAATTCTATCCTGAATATATTTTATTGGTACATCAGAAAAAAATTGATCATATCCATCCTTATGATTCGGTTAATGTGCAGCAGCTTAGATTAGCAATCGACTCCCAATAGGAAATCGGTTAATAAAAACATTTTAATCGTTCAAGTACCTTACCGTTGCGTGACATACTTCAAATCCTACACTATTTTGTCGCTTGGGATAGTAGTGAATCTTTTCATTTATCATCTGTTCAGTAAGTTTTAGTAAGCTCAAAGTTTCTGCAAATAAGAAGATTTATTTCTTCGAAATTATTAGAAAATATTTTATTAATCTGTGATTTTCTTTTCTCTATGTCAAATTTACTGGCAAGCGTACGTGAACTGCGTGCCTGTGGCTTACATCCAGATCTCCTAATGTGTCGTTGTAGTTCACCGCTACCCTCCAGTGTCATTAACAAAATCAGCTTATTCAGTCAAGTTGCAGTAGAACGTGTAAGTACTTCGTGATCAGTTCGAAAGTTTAATTTTTCTTTATCTACTTACTATTTATTATTAATTTTTTCAATCACCTAAAAAAAAATGATTGAATCGATTTAAAAATAACCACAATCCTAGTTTGCAATTCAATTCACCAAAAAAATGTGACTGTGTTCCGATGAGGATTTGTTTTTGAGTGTTACTTTCTTGTCTAGTAAATATATCATTACTACTACTACTACTACTACTACTAGTAGTAGTAGTAGTAGCGTCAGTAGCTATAGTTTATTCTTAAAAATTAACAAATGCATAGTCTACTGCGAGAAATGTATATTTAAAAAGAAAATAAAACTTGATAAAACTTAAGTAGAATAACAAATAGGATAAATTATACTTACTTACTTACTTACGCCTGTTACCCCCAATGGAGCATAGGCCGCCCACCAGTTTTCTCCAACCAACTCTGTCCTGGGCTTCTCTCTCCAGTTCTGTCCAATGTTTGTTCATTCCTCTCATATCTTTCTCTATTTCTCGGCGTAATGTATTCTTTGGCCTTCCTCTTTTCCTTTTGCCTTGAGGGTTCCATGTGAGGGCTTGTCTCGTGACGCAGTTAGGTGCTTTTCGTAATGTGTGTCCTATCCACTTCCACCGCTTCTTCCTGATTTCCTCCTCCACTGGAATGTGGTTCGTTCTCTCCCACAGTTCGTTGTTGCTGATGGTGTCTGGCCAACGAATACGAAGTATTTTGCGTAGACAACTGTTAATAAACACTTGTATCTTCTGAATGATGGCTTTGGTAGTTCTCCATGTTTCCGCTCCATACATTAGAACTGTCTTGACATTTGTATTGAAAATGCTGATTTTGGTTTTGGTTGAAAGTTGTTTGGAGTTCCAGATATTTTTCAATTGTAGAAATGCAGCCCTCGCTTTGCCAATCCGTGCCCTCACATCTGCATCGGATCCACCTTGATTGTCGATGATGCTGCCCAGATATGTAAAGGTGTTAACGTCCTCCAAGTGGTGTCCATGAAGAGTGATTTGGTTGGTGCATGTTGTGTTGCATCGGAGAATTTTGCTTTTTCCTTTATGTATGTTGAGACCTACTGCTGCAGAGGCTGCTGCTACACTGGTCGTCTTCTCTTGCATTTGTTGTTGCGTGTGTGCAATAGAAGAGCCAAGGATATATTATAACTTGTTGTTTATCATATTTCATAGATACTTTTCAGTTGAGTTTGTTCGCATTGCAAGATAAACAACCTTGTCATTTGTCATTCATAAAAAAAGAAATGATTTAAAGCAAATTTACATCGTATATGGTTTACTCGATTAGATAGTAGTATAGTTCATTTATAGATAGTACAAATTACATACATGACAGAATGTTCGAAGTATTTATTATTCCCTGTTACTTTATATACTTCTATGGTTATTGTTTTTTGATTGTTAAGTTTGTAAAGAATCAACAGTTATGTCAGTATTTTACCTACTAATTCTTTGTTGTATCGTTTTTATGATGTTTTTTTTAAACACATTTCACAAAATTATAGCATCGAAACAAGTTAAACTTGATATGTTTTAATAGTTTTGTCTATTTTTAAAATCTGAATCAACATGAATCACATAGGAAAAGGGAAATACATATGGTCAGTCATAAGAAATGCGTATAAATAAAATACACACTATGAATAGTGATTAGAGATGTATAATTGTGAATAGCAGTGCAATTTTAATCTATTGTTTATTTGAGTGAGTATGAACTACATCATAGTGTGTGTGTGTGTGTGTGTAGTGGACATTTAGAGGTGGAACTCGGCTTTTTTCAGGCAATCATTCGTGCATTATTCATTCAAGCAAACAGACATGAGAATGAAAAGCATACAAGCAGGGCAAAGTGAAGTGGAGAAGGCGAGAGAGCCAATCAATTTGTAATGAAGCATGACTAAGCATTTATGTTCAGACCAGAAATAAGCCAGACACACATGTGATAAGCGAGTTAAGCTTACACACACACATACCGGAATAGAAACAACCATGATAAAAGGGAATTTTCGCCAAGGTCAAAAGACGAGAGAATAGCAACTCGAATAGGATGGGTCGAATTGTCTGGAGGCTTGGGCAAGCCCTATGGGCTCAACAAAATACACGCACTATAACTCAATGACTTTTTTTTTCATGAAGCGATAGCTTTCAATCAGTTAATTTTAAGTTTCAAACAGTGCCAATACCTTATGTTGTATAGGCCTTATAGGAATGGCTTCTATCTCAGCTAAATATGTTGAACAATGTCGTTACTATATTGGTGTTTGCTTGACCAATTTCACATGTAATACCAGTTTATAGTAACAACCTTTCCTATCTATCTTAGCGTGAAATTGTTACCGACATGTAATGTAAATTTAAACAATGACTCATTTCCATAATTCTGTTGTTTGATAGATAGTCTATTATCGAATTTCTTTTCAACTAAATTATATCAGTATTTGACTACAAAATATATTTATTATCTGATGTGCTTACTTAACTACCCACTTTTATATTATTTATAAAACAGGTTATTGTTTCCCTAGATGTTAATGATTTATACGAAGTACCTATACGATTAAATGATCAAAATTTATGCTCAATTCTACTGGAACACTTTCAACTGAATCCGAAACAACATATTGAATATCCAATTCTTGGTAAATGGAAAGCATTAATTCGTCAAATAGAACTGGCATCTGAAATTGTTCGTATTGCTATAGTTGGAAAATATACCAAATTTAATGATGCTTATTTGTCATTGTTAAAGGTAGGTGATAGTATTTACTGGTCAATTTTTATTAATTTTTCTTACATTGTTATTTATAAGTTTACTAACAAAACTCAAATCAAGAGAATCTATTCATTGACTAGGATTTATTCCTGTTTAGTAAAGATTGGTAAAGAAGTAGTCTATTAATTAATTACCATTCAGATACAATGCAAGTATGCTTTAACTTCATTTTTACTCTGTTTACATGCAAAATACCATTTGAAGACTAGTCTATGTCAACTCTTAGACTAGTAAGAGAAAGTAAAGTAGTTAATTGCATTGATCACCTAAAAGTCTCATTAGCCCATGTCTGTTGGTATATGGATTAAACAGCACGGAATCTGAAAGATCGTACAATTATTTTTATTTTGCGACTTTGATAAAATGTTTTCATGCTAACCACGGGTTGTGTTAGTTCTGTCTGTTCTACGTTATTGATATGAAACATAAACCTTAAAATTGAGTATATTTGTTGATGACTGGTGTTTTAACATAAAAGTGCTTTTGAAGCATTGTTCGTGTTTGTCTGGTTCACAAAGTGAGAAATACTGATGTTACGTTCAGAGTAATAGGTATTATGTAGGGATAGAACTTCAGTTATCCAAATGATGACTCTTAATCGACTGAGATGGTTGAAACATATGTTATCTATGCTAAACCACCCTCTTTATTGACGTGTAATTTTGGCTGTAGTAGGAGTCAGGTTAAAAGAAAGCTAGAGGCGGCCAAATTAAGACATGATGCTGGTCAGTCGAGTCATTAACTGTGGTAGTGAACGTTGGAGATAAATTCAGACTACTACCCGCCTGATTGCCGTAACCAAATAATTCGGGGCTTGAGAGTATTCTGAATACCAAACTCTTTGAGAAATTGGAGATGGTCGAACCTGTTATTTTTTAAAACTAAGAATGAATGCATTTCCCGATTATAATGTAATGTAACATACTTCCTCCTAAATCAAAATTATTAAAATAAAATAAAGTTAGAAATAATAGAAAGTTCGTTAAGATTAATATCCAACATCACTTTATTTCGCATCAGTTTTACTCTTATTGTCTTTATATTTTTACTTGTCAGGCTCTTCGTCATGCTGCAATTTATACAAACTTAAAATTGGATCTTTCACTTGTATGTGCTGAAGATCTTGAAGAAAACACTCGTATCCTAAGTCCAGATGCATTTCATCAAGCCTGGCTCACGTTGAGTAGCTCTGATGCCGTTGTTGTTCCTGGTGGTTTCGGTCAACGAGGTATTGACGGTAAACTAGCTGCTATACGCTTTTGTCGAGAAAGAGGTGTTCCATTTTTAGGCCTTTGTTTAGGTCTCCAATGTGCTGTAATTGAATTTGCAAGAAATGTTCTCGGTTGGGAAGTAAGTCATTTATTTGATCAAAAACCAATAAAAGATTAAAATTTATCTTGAAATTGAAAAAAAAAATGCTTATCGTGCATACATCTGTACACAATTATTGACTGTGCTAATTCTCGTCGTTCTAACATTTTTGACTGGAAAGCTTATACACTGAATATATATTATATATATATATATATATATATATATATATATATATATATATATATATATATATATATATATATATATATATATATATATATATTAAGAGTGACTGTAAGTAGATAATGAAGTCAGTCTTTCATATCACTGACGCTTAGTCTTAAAATGAGATAGGTTCAGATTTCTTGCTTAGATTTTGCTATATAACTGTGAATCATGATTGCAGGTCTGTTGCGTCGGTCGGTATATTTGCCCTATAAAGTTATGTAGTATGATCACAACATTGCTTGGTGGTAACTAACTGTGCGATATACCTAATTTTACAGTTGCATTATTAATTCAATATTATCAAGGTGAAACAGTTGATTATTTTTTACGTGACAAGGTTATTTTACGCACACACTCACACTAATGAAAAGGTATACCATAGTTTATTATCATATGAAGTTTCTTAACAAACTACATAAAGATGAAATTCTTTTCTTTTCTACTGTCTACTTTTACATATCTGAAATTATGATTGTTGCAGGATAATATTTTTTTTTCTTCAAATGAGTAGTAGTATAATCGATGTGTATTGTAATGTCGATATCAGTCAGTCAGATGCAACGTAGAACTTCGTACGTAAGTGCATTAGTTCATGTTACCATATCACATCAGTACAGATATATAATTGTCAATTCAAATCCAATAGTAGAAGAGGTAGTAAAGGTATTAGAAGTAATCGGAGAGGTTAGGATTAGAAGATACTATTCAAGAAGTATGATTCAGTGAGAAAAGTTTAGAGAGTCGAAACTAGAGGTGTTGAAGAATCCAGAAGATTAGGGTTTGAGAGAACACAAAGAATAAATGCACCGGCGCCATCGCGAACGATTTTGAGCCATGTCATTCAAGGTCTCTAACCATCGATATAATCAACAACCTTTAAACTTTGTCTAATTGGCTGAGCAATATAATTCATTGTTTCAATTTTTTTTCTTTTTTAATTCAAGTAGTCTTATTCACCGAACCTTTTTAATTAATTAAAGAAAAAAAAACATGCTTATTGATAACAGATTTATACGGGTTTTAAATTGATTGTCAAAAAGAATCGTCGTAATTTGTGCCCTATTAAGTATATATCTCATGATTAGAGAAACACCAACTTAGATATTGAGTATATATATGTCTGTAATTTTAGCATTTCTATTTCGCTTATTGTACTATGCTTAGCTTTTGAATGTTCCGAATATTAGAACATTTCCATTATGCATTATTTACGGGTACTTTTTAATAGTTTTTTTTTCTCTTAGGATTTTAGTCATCTCTTTTTGTTCACCGATTTCCTCTAATTGCTTATCACACTAGTCATGATTGACATTAGTGATTATATACTTTTGTCACATTTTTAGATGTCACTTCTTTATTCGGTTAACCATTAGTTCCACTTATTCATCATCATCTATAATCATCAATAGCAACGTAGAGCTTTGCACGTAAGTACAGCATTTCAAGTTGCTATACCACGTTAACACAGAGATATAATTATCAATTCAAATCCCATTATAGTAGAGGTAGTAAAAGTATTAGAAGTAGTCGGAAAGATTAGGGTTCGAAGATATTATTAAAGAAGTATAATTCAGTGAGGAAAATTTCGAAAGAGAAAGATAGAGGTGATGATGAATTCAGAAGGTTAGAATTAGAGAGAATACAAAGAGTAGATGCATCTGCGCCATTGCAAACAGTTATAAGCCATGTCACTCAGGGTCTCTAACCATCGATTATTATCATCTCGCGGACCCCAACCAGATAGACTACATCTACCAACATGACTCAGTCTACTTGTCAGTGGCCTCATGGATTTGTGGCATGTTTTGGTTTGGCCGCCCCTACCTTTCTTCCAACCTACTTCTACATCACAAAACATGGCTTATCGAGGCAGTTGGTGTTTGGACATTCATAACACATGTCCCAACCACGTCAACTGATGAAGTCTCATTACTTCATCAATTGATCTGTCATCTTTACCTACAACTCGTTTCCTAACAACAGCATTGTTTACTCGAGCAATGCTTCGAAGACACCTATGATCGAAAACCAGTAACCTACGAATATCTTATACTTTGACTGGTCTTGTTTCACAGCCATATAGTAGGACGGAGCGAACTACCGCGCACTACACTCGTCCTTTAATCATCAAACTGATATCTCACCTTCGCCATAAATGACGCAAGTTGGCAAAAGCCAACCGAGCCTTCTCTCTCCGTGCTGAGATTTCGTCAGTCAACAGGCCATCGGCACTTGATGACACTCCCGAGATAAGTGAAGTGGTCAACTCGCTCAACTACTTCACTAGTTCCACTTATTCACCTCCCAAAAACATAATTAGTTTTAATTCTGCTTGATTTATTTTTGTATTGTATTTTGACAGATTATGTTCATTATGTAAGGTGCTGTGTTAAGATCTGAATGTTAAACAATACATCACTGTCTCACAGACAGTGATAAGTTTACATAGAGTTTTTCTCCTACCTGCTAACTTCATTTACGTAATGTATGTAGTAAGTTCTTTGTTTTATAGCTTTAATAGGACTAGTTAATAAATGTTCACACTACCGAGATTTTCATATCAAAAAGAAGTTAAACTTTTATTAATCTAAAACAATTAGTTCCTTTTATAAATTTTGATAGAACAGTGAAATGTGATGTATTTGCGCCATACATTTCGAACAATCTGGTCACACATATTTACTTGTCAAGGCATTTTATTATGAAGATCAATAAAAGGTCAATTAAATGGGAATCTTTAATATAATTAAATAAAAGTTCAAATAGACATAAGGTGATAATTGTAAATAAAGGAGAAAGAAAATTAACGTAATACGGAAAGAATAAGAAAGGATAGGGAAATTGTCACATTACCCTAGGCTTAAAGATTACTAGGGTGAATTCAAGGTTATGACTAATTGTTTCTGTACACATAAGGGGGAGCTTTTAATTTTCGAATAGCCTCCATAAACCTCAATATTCGTCCTTCAACATTTCTATACAATGTTTTGAAGGCTGTCTTGATATCAGTCTTATGCCCTGTCTCAATTATGTGTTTTGCGATCGATGAACAGGGTTTTCTGTTTCCCACGTTTATCGGCTCATCTGACGTTAACTGATTTTGAAGCCACTTAGGTACATGTTCTATAACCCTTGATTGCAAAGTCCGATTATTCGTTCCTATGTACGTGTGTCCACATAAACATGTAAATTGATAAATGCAATGGGATGTGATGTAATCATTCGAGCAACGTTTAGGTATATGTGAAATCATGAACTTGGTCTTTTCAATGATAATCAGTTTAACAGTGTAGTATATTTTCTCTATGGCTGCTTTTAGTCTTTGTCCTAAGAGTAGACCATTTGTTTCACCTCTTAATGGTAAACCTTTTCTCAGCAGAATGAAAAACTGGCTTTTGTCTTAATTGATTTCTACACATATTGGTGAACTTTAACGGATAGCCGTTTGAAATCAATGTTTCAGTTAAGAATTTTGCATCGTCTCCAAATGTATCCGTGGTGCAAATCCTTTGAGCCCTATTGAAAAGGCATTTTACTAAACATCGGTTCTGTCGCACTGGACAAGAACTGCTCGTTGGTTTTCTATAAACTGAACGCTTTATGGTTCCATTCTCCCTTTGACTCAACAGTGTGTCTAAAAAAGGCCGTTGGTTATTATTTTCTGTTTCGTGGGTTAGGACTTTGTCGTTCTGAAGACTATTGGAGTTATTCGGTAACTGAGAGACATTGAGTTCTTTATCGCATATAACTAAAATCTCATCCATATATCTCCTATACAGAGTAAGCTTATTGATGGGTTCATTCCACAAATTTTCAGCATATGCCATATAAACATCAGCTAAGAGAGGTCCCAAAGGACTACCCATAGCAACGCCATCAAACTTGCTGGAAATGTTCATCATCAAACGTGAAATGAACCTTCTCAGTATACACAATAAAATTAATTCTCTTATTAGAGTTAACCGAATGGGAAAAAGAGTATATGTGTGACCAGATTGTTCGAAACGTATAGTGCAAATACATCACATTTTTCAGTTCAATTACGTTTTCTCACTTTTATCAATAGTTTAACTTATCAACTAACATAATTTAAATGAAAACTGTTCAAAGTGATGGTGCGCATTCACGACTCCTGCACTTTGCAGGATGGATGTGCACTGCTGATGAGTCCCATACCAAGACGAAACGGCCATCCAGTGCTTCCCGGTTTCTAATGATGTCTAACATTGATCGATTCATGATTTCAGATGTGTAACTTAACAATCTTCACAACCCCGTAATGCAATTTAACTTTATTGTTGAGTATATTCTTTGACTGATCAATGCATAGTATTTTTAATTAAACTTTATGTAAAACTTGCAAAATATCCATCAGCACACCTTTATTCGCTTGAAAAAAATCTCTTCACTCTCAACTCAAAAATGAAAATATCAAGAGTATTTCTTAGCGGAAACTAACTAGACGATTGATTGTACAAAAAGATAATGTCCGTCCTGAACGTGTGGAAAAATCAACAGACGCCTTAGAAACTTGTACGATCGTCATCTAGATAGGCGTCAAATCGGAGAAAAACTCATCCATACACTAGTAAATAGTCAATATAATGGTTTCAAGAAGTAACGAATGGAATCCAAGAAGATGGTGATATATAGCGCCCAACTATTAGCAACACGGAAAGGCGCTCAGGTACAGTTCGCCACTTTCACTAACCTTGCGAATCCTAATTGAAGTTCAGAAATAACGAACGGGAAACAATAGTTTGACTACAGACATTAACGTGAAGGTATATATTGGGTTTTAGAAAACAAGCAAACTTCATGTTGCCTGTTTGTAGTTTCACTTCGTTACCAAAAGGTGACTTTCAGTGCATTGATTAACGGGTTTTATAGTCGTGTGTTTTTCATTGAAAAACGTACTAAAAAGAAACATCCAACTCAGAAAACGAAACACCGCCACATTCATCATCCAACTGAGCTACAAAAAATTTTCTCCACCATATCAAAAAAAAACATAAGTTCAACTGTTCTGCACTTCAACAGTACTGGTCGAGTTCTAGTTAATGGTAAGCTATCACCGTAATTGAGATATTTTCGTTCTCATCTTGTCGATTTCTCACGATGACCCAATTTAAGCTATGATATCTTTGGCGAATACATATTTATACCAGTTATATCAATCAGTATCTGTGATCAACTGACAATGATTTTATTTATTCATTATAATAACATTTTGAATTGTATTTTGTTATATATATTTTTTTTATATAACTAGGACGCTAATTCTACTGAATTTGATCCAGACACCGCTTACCCAGTGATCATTGATATGCCTGAACATAATTCCGGAATTATGGGTGGAACAATGCGACTTGGTCGACGTCGTACATTATTGTATTTATCAGAAATTTCTAAATCCTATTTAAAATGTACTGATGAATATTCTGAACATTCTGAATCAAAATCAAAAGATTCTTATGAATGTGAAGTGATTGATTCATGCGCATCATCAGATGCTCTTTGTTCAGATAGTATAGTGCATCGATTAATTAATTCACCATACTTTGATGCACGTCATCGGCATCGATATGAAATTAATCCAAAATATGTAGATCAATTAGAAGAATCCGGTCTTATTGTTGTTGGTCGAGATGCAGAAACTGGCAATCGTATGGAAATTATTGAACTATTACAACCTTTGCCTCGAATTGAAGGCATTTCAAATTTAGAAAATCAATATCCTACTAGACATCCATTTTTTGTAGCTACTCAATTTCATCCGGAATATACAAGTCGACCTACTCATCCATCAATATTCTTTGTTGGACTTGTACTAGCTGCATCGAAACGTTTGACTGCTTATGTGAAAAATCCTTATCGACTTAGTCCTACTCAATTTCTATTAGATGGAAATAATAGAAAAGATAATATGGATCTATCTAAAATAAGTACACCTAGAAAATTAAAAGATACTCTGAATCATAGTAGATCGGAAACATCCAATATAAGCAGTGAGTTCGATCAATGAGTAGTAGTAAATTGATGAGCTAGCTCAGTTAGCACTAATTTCTAAGAAGAGTTCAAGTAAGTTTCTCAATTAAGGTTTGTTTGTTTTTTTTTCCTTTTTCAAAAGTTATTATTGCTCATGTGATGAAATCATGTGTGATTGATTAGTTTTCTCTCTCTCTCTCTCATTTTTTCCCATCATCAAGTCCACATGTAAGACGACCTCAAATTATTTAGTCTATGAATGAAATCATAGTGAAAATTATTGATACGCTTCTAACTAGTTGTTTTATTGTCTAAGATAAAATATAGCATTCTTGCAACTTGATTTTGATTTGCCAATCAGTTAATATCAAGAGTTTTATTAATTCTCATCTCTTTTTTTTATTTCTTTGAGTGCAATATTTAACAGTAGCATATATGACTTCACTTCAGTTGTGAAACCGATTTCAGTCTTTTCTAGTATTTAACATGTTCTGTCCCAGGTTTTTGACATACGTGTGTTAGCGGGTCACAGATGATATTAAAGCATGACTGCGTTAGCTGCACGCTGATTGGCCAAATCTTATCCACTCAGCTCCAGTCGATACTTAGAGTACATACATTCCAAAAGCTTCTCACGTTAAAACTATAAAGATACTGGCGTTGTTCCTATTTCGCCTTCGTTTGAGCTTCTTACTTCCATTTAACCTTGCTATTTGGAATATAATCTCTTCCCTGTTCAACCGTGTTCTGATTTGTGGACTTGTCGAGTGTATTGTTGTCAGAGAATACTAAGTAATAGGAATAGCTGGGTTTATCTAAGACAGATGTATAACAACAACAACAAACAGTAGATGAGTTTCAGAGTCAAAATTTATTATGTTATGAAGTCGTTGATAATATTTCAATATTAAAATCATTAATCTGAATGTGCCTCAGTTTTTTTTTGACTAACATTAATAGAATGTCGTCCTTGTTGTGCTATCCGTTTATAAGAAACTTGATCGAATTCCTGGCGTTCTTCTAATGTGACAGTGCAACGAGTAGGATACAACCATATTTTGGATGTGATGATACTGTTATCCACCACATAGACCATTGGTAGAAAATGGTCACTCAGTATAGAAAATTGATCACAGTTATTAGACATACACACTGTTGGATACAGAAGGCTCGATTGGCTTTTGCCAACCTGCGTCATTTATGGCGTAGGCGAGATATCCGTTTACTGACTAAAGGACGAGTGAACTGCGCAGTAGTTCGCTCCGTCTTACTCTATGGCTGTGAAACATGGCCAGTGAGAGTAGAAGATATTCATAGGTTACTGGTTCTCGATCATAGGTGTCTTCGAAGCATTGCTCGTATATCCTAGGACACCCGAGTGAGCAACGCTGTTATTAGGAATCGTGTGCTAGGTAAGGATGGTAGGTCAATAGATGAAGTGGTGAAACTTCATAGGTTGAGGTGGTTGGGCCATGTGTTACGTATGCCTAACCACCGACTGCCTCGTCGAGCTTTGTTTTGTAGTGTAGGAATAGGTTGGAAGAAAGCTAGGGGCGGCCAGACCAAAACATGACAGAAATCCATGAAGTCATTGACGAGTGGACTGAGCCATGTCGGCAGTTGTCGACTACCTGGTTGGGTTCCGCGAGATAATAATAATTGATGGTAAGAGACCTTGAATGACATGGCTAAAAACCGTTCGCGATGGCGCCGGTGCATTTATTCTTTGTGTTCTCTCAAATCCTAATCTTCTGGATTCTTCAACACCTCTAGTTTTGACTTTCTAAACTTATCTCATTGAATCATTCTTCTTGAATATCTTCTAATCCTAAACTCTCCGACTACTTCTTATACCTTTACTACCTCTTCTACTATTGGATTTGAACTGACAGTTATATCTCTGTGCTGATAAGGTATGGCAACATGAATTGATGTACTCACGTACAAAGTTCTACGTTGCATCTGACTGACTGACTGACTTTCTGTCGGAGTCCAGATTAGGCGTCCACGCGTGAGACTCAAGGCTGTTGGTTTCTTTCGTCAGTGCATAACTGCAACTGAACAGTTTCATACTAGAACAAAACAATTGTCTAGTTTCTCCTGGTTATAGGATGAGAATCGAATTCTGTCATTAATGTTTAAAAGACTAATTGAGTGTAATACGGGGTTGTGAAGATTGTTAAGTTACACACTTTTGAAACCATGAATCGATCAATGTTAGATCACCATTAGAAACCTGGAAGCACTGAAAGACGGCTGTTTCGTCCTGGTATGAGACTCCTCAGTGATGGTGCGCATCCACGACTCCCGCATCCCGCAGGATTCGAACCCAGGACCTTCGGTATTGTGCGCGAACGCCTTAACCGTTAGACCACTGAGCCGGTATCTAATGATGTTAATGTCTAACTTCAATCAATTCACGGAGTTGCGCAACCTCATACACAGTCTTCGGTAGACACTGCCTACACTCGAACAGTTCGAACTTCATAAATGAATGTATTCATTCATTCATTCATTTAATTTTCCCTATTTCAGCACATTTCCTTCTACTTTTTTTCTTTTCTGCTTTATCTTTTAGTAAATTGTTATTCGTCCATCGATTCGTTCGTTATTTAGTATTATTATCAGGAGGCAGCGATAACACCACTGCATTAAAAAGAATTTTTTTTATACAAGTAGACTTCATGTTTATGTATTTTAAAAATACTGCTTTTTTTAAGAAAAAAAATTTAAACTAACTGATTTGTAATACAAATCAATAAAGAGTGCATTCATATTGTGTTGTGCTAAAAAAAAAAACTATTTTTGATAGAGATTTATTATTTTTTTGAAAAAATAAGAATTAAATAGTTTATTATTTTTTTTAATTTAAAATCAATAAATAGTCTATCAAAGAAAAAAAAAGATCACCTTATTTGATCAATCGCCACTGAACATTTTGTAATATTTTTAATTCATGTTATTAGATATGTCAATTTTTCACGATGGATCTTATTCAAACACTTTTTTTCTCGTCCAGAATTCATTATTCAAACTTAACATTTTTAATCGAAGATGAACATACTTGTTTTTTGTTTTTTTTTTGTGTGTGTGTGCATAAAGTCATAAAAAGTTGTCGAAGTTGATTAGATAACTAACACTTTTTTTTATCAATGCATTTAATTGCTTAGAAAATTTCATTGTAAAATATAAAAGTAAAATATACTGGACTGTACCTATACTATATTGTTGTTTGTTTACTTGTCTTTCAACTGATATACACAATCAGTCATTTAGTCAGTCAATTACAACGTAGAACTTCGTACGTGTGTACATTAGTTCAGGTTGCCATACCACATTGGCACAGAGACGCCACCGTCAGTTCAAATCATATAGTGGTGGAGAGAGTAGAAGAATTAGGGATCGAAGATATTATCCAAGAAGTATAATTCAGTGAGATAAAGTTAGAAAAAGAAAGATAGAGATGATGACGAATTCTGAAGAATAGAATTTGAGAGAACACAAAGAGTGGATGCATCTGCGACATTGCAAACGATTCTGAGCCATGTCATTCAAGGTCTCTAACCATTGGTGACTTTCGTCTCGCAGACCCCAACCAGGTAGTAGTCTACATCTACCAACATGACTCAGTCCACTTGTCAGTGACTTTCTTTCAACTTACTCCTACACCACAAAACGTAGCTCGTCGCGGCAGTCGGTGGTTGGGCATACGTAACACATGTCCCAACCACCTCAACTGATGAAGTTTCACTACTTCATTTATTGATTTGCAATCCTTATCTAGTACTCGTTTCCTAACGACAGCATTGCTTACTCGGTTTTTGCAAGATATACGAGCGATGCTCCGAAGACATCTATAATCGAATTCTACTAACCTACGAATGTCGTCTACTTTTAACAGCCATATTTCGCATCCGTATAGTAGGAGAGAGCGAACTGCTGCGTAGTACACTCGTCCTTTGGTCAGCAAACGGATATCTCGCCTGCGCCATAGGTGACGCAGGTTGGCAAAAGCCAATCGAACCTTCTGTATCCGTGCTGAGATTTCGTCAGTCACCAGGCCATCAGCACTGATGAGACTCCCGAGATAAGTGAAGTGGTCTACACACTCGCCTACTTCACTCTCTATCACTAGTTGAGGTGTTGATGCAACCCAATCTTGAAGCAACATTTCGCATTTCGATGGGGAGAATCGCATCCCGAACATGATTGTATTGTTGCCTAGTGTAGTCAGGAGACACTGCATCTTAACCAATTAGAACTATGTCATCGGCATATTTTAAGTCAACCAGTGAATCTCCTGGTAGAAGGTCTACTCCTAAAACTTCTAACAAGGAAGGAAGGGTTAGAAAAGGTCAACCCTAAAAATGTCACCTCACCTTACCTCACGGATTCCCGTCTCCGGCGGTAAGGGCTGCCCAATAAGGGCTTTCTAAAAGAGCGGAGCTAATACTCAAGGAACCTTTCATGAAAAGGCCGTGCATGACCAGCCTCAAGCGGTTGTCCCTTGGGCTCTGCGATCACGCTCTCAGGTCGATCAAACCAATGCTTACCCGATTCCCTTTTCAGGTTCCTTAAGAAGTACCCTCCCACCGTGTGGTCAGCCGGGAATCGACAACAGCTCTCATACCCGTAAAAGTACACGAGACCAGATCGGTCACAAACAAATTCTACACTTCCGAATAACTCTCTTATCGTATCTCAGTCACTCCAAGCCACATCTTTACTGTTTGTACATTACTATAGGATTAAAGCATCTTGAGCAATTACTTATTTGTGCACCCACCAAATTCTCAAACATTAAGTTGTAAGTTTTTGGGAACACTGTGAATGCATTTATTGAACATTAGTCTTATGTAAGTTTACATGCCGAATACGTCTGATAATAATTACTATAGTTTGTCATATTTCTGTTATTGGGATCACTAGAATCTTCCATCTGCTAATTACCATTCTTCATATGCCCACAAAAGATATGGTTTATTAAATTGCTTTCTAGGCTCAACAGTTATAATATCCTTCAATATTGTTTCTTTCTGTGGACAACTACATTGCACCAATAGGCGGTAGTCAATTTCTACATAACAGCCAAAAGTGACCATGAGTAGGGGGAGACTGTGAATGATAAACTCAAGAAAATAGAAACAGTAAATCGTATGTTAATAGTTTTTGGGTTAATACGACGCTTATGCTGAGGAATATGTACACACCTGATAGTCTAATTAATCCATAATTATACGATTAGATTACATACATCAATAGTCAACAAGTTGGTTATCTAGTTTCCTACTTTAGTCTTCGTTTGGCTTTAACTGTATTATCCATTAAAAAATCAAAAGATAGCTGCAAACTTTCGGAAATCACAAGGTTCTGGGTCAACCACTGTAGGATTTAACTTGTCCTACAGATGTAATTCTAAAAAACGTAAACGCGACTACCGCCGATGACAGAGTCCCCAGTGAAACTATAGTTAACAGAAGACAATTCGGTTTTAAACTTTATCTGTTTCTAAACAAAAAGAAAACGATTAATTTAGTACAATAACTAAGGAAATTACAATTATCAAGCAGGATGAGCAAACGTACCGGACAGTATAGCGTGTCTTTAGAAAATGAATAAAAAACATGAGTCACAGCAATATAAATAAAATGATAACATCCTTCAATCGATGGACCATTCACAACAAAGAAAGTTTATACATCAGTCAGACTAGATGACGTGGTGAGCGCTTAACCAATCTGATTGGTTAGTTATGACATAACTACAATTAGTCATAAAATAACTAACACTCCCCCCGAAGCGGTCACCACGTCCAGACCTCGTTGCCGTCGCGCTCGAATAATCGACCTCTTCCATTAGGCATAGGTTTCATATATCTCGGTTGATGTCTACTGTGTCTCTTCAATCGAATCGTTCTGAATCGGCCATCGGGACCATCATTGACTTCTTTAACTATGGCTTCCACCCAAAGATTTCTCAGCAAACTAGTATTGTTTACTAACGGTGAGTCTCCATGTTGTGGCTTCCTTCTCGTTGACTTTATAATATGTTTCCATATACCTCCTCCGGGATCAAAGATTAATGCTATAAACGACAAAATATTCCTTCTGGTCAGGTTTCCAGGAAACACGTGAACTCTGACAAATGATTCATCCGCTCGGATATTCCGCTCTACTCCCAGAGTTCGTTTACACATCTCGTTGGGTCCGCATAGGGTAATGGTTCCCTTTATTTTATCACTTTTCTGGCAAAATGAATTCGATGATACCGGTGAGGATGCTACTGTAGCTTCCGCTGCATAATTTTCGGTTCTTATAGAATTATGTTTTGAATTAAGACCACGTCTGTTCTGATGGTTTGACCTGATGGTGAATGTTTGACTCAAAACAGATACAGAACTGTCGAATCTATATGGACATGTGTCGTTCTCTTCGATAGCTTTTCTTTTCAATTCACGACGTCTTCGACAGGCTTCGTGAAACTGGAAAACACTCTTATCACAAACCATCCCATCCTGTTCGATGATTTCATCAAATAATTTTGGAAGAAGAGTCTTCTTGTCTTCTAAGACAGAGAAACCACTTTTACTTACATGAGTAGGACGTGACCGATAGCGATGTGTTTCAGGATCCGCAGTGCGGTCTATTGACTTGCTTTCTGACACATTTGTCCTTATTCTTTTAGCTTGAGATGTTCCTGATGCAGAATCATTGCTACTACTACATGAATACTGCAGATCAAATTTACTAGGGATTTTATTTGTGGATAGTGTACCTTGCTCTTTACAGAATTTTAAGACATAATCGATTTCGTACTGAGTTGCTTTGCGTAACTTGCTGACAGGTGTCCATTCTACAACGCGATCCCAAACATAACGTATGCGATACTCTGCTCTTGTACCATGTCGCTGACGATGGGCTAGAACCTCAGCAAGACATTGGAAGTCGTTGCGCCATGTAGCCATTACATAACTACCCACCTCATTAATTGCAACCATTCTCAAAGTTCGTGAGTCAACTAGAGCAGCAGGCATTTGTAACCAACTGAGAGTATTAATCAACAGTCTGCCATCATACACTAAACGTACTACTATCCGTGACCTGCAGAGAGATTCTTTATTCTTTTCAGCACTGTTGTTGTGTATATCATTTAACTGGAAATGAAAAGGTCCAAAATTATTACACCTCTGTTTATTAGCATCGGAATTATGAGCTCGGCAATGCTGTCGAATAACTGGCATTTCTCTTTCGCCTGCAACTAGGTCGACTTCCGCTAAAGTTAACGTTTCTTACCGTTTATCTTCAACTACTTCCTTAGCAGAATCTTCTAGATTTTTCGAATCCTTACAGTCTGTCTGAGAAGCTGTATTAACTTTAGCCATTGTAGTAAAAGGACCCGAAGCAGAATCATGACTTGTAGATGATGATGTCCATAATTTAACCGAAGCATCTTTCGACACATCAGCATTCACAACGCTTGATGAAATATTTGATCCGAGAACACAATCAGATGGAATGTCTTTCTTAGCTATAGCAAAACTTGATAGAACGGCAGGTGACTTAGCTAATTCATTTGATGCTTTGAGTGATGCAACGGAAGCCTCTGTGTGAGAAACATAATGATTAGAAGGAGAACTAGAAAAATCCTGATCTGTCGATTTAGTGCGAGGAGGGTTTGTTCCATTCAGGTTTATTTGCATTTTATCATGTTCACTGTTACTTTCCACAATAAACAAATTTGATTTCTTCTCGGAAACGGCCACAACTTGTTTACGATATTCTCTTCCTTTTTGACGTAAGCGTTCTAACTCAATTTCCTTCTCTATATGAGCTAAACGTATTTTTGCTAATTCTAACTCTAACAAAGGATCTATTCGGTAGCTATTTCTTCTAAACTGGTCTTCACTGTGAGTTTCCGAGCGGTAGGGGGACAATTTAGGAATCTGATCAGTTTTAAGAATCTCCGTGGACATTTGAAAGCAATTAGTATATGAACTTCTGATGAAATACTGTCCGAAACTATGTAGGATTTAACTTGTCCTACAGATGTAATTCTAAAAACGTAAACGCGACTACCGCCGATGACAGAGTCCCCAGTGAAACTATAGTTAACAGAAGACAATTCGGTTTTAAACTTTATCTGTTTCTAAACAAAAAGAAAACGATTAATTTAGTACAATAACTAAGGAAATTACAATTATCAAGCAGGATGAGCAAACGTACCGGACAGTATAGCGTGTCTTTAGAAAATGAATAAAAAACATGAGTCACAGCAATATAAATAAAATGATAACATCCTTCAATCGATGGACCATTCACAACAAAGAAAGTTTATACATCAGTCAGACTAGATGACGTGGTGAGCGCTTAACCAATCTGATTGGTTAGTTATGACATAACTACAATTAGTCATAAAATAACTAACAACCACTATCGTGAGAAATACAAGCGCCTACCCTATAGACTTAGAAACGCTCTATTATAGAACAGATTTTTAATAAACAGCATTGGTTCATCTACTATAAAGTATGCACTTAGTCTAGTAAACACATTTCTTCATTATTCAGTTCTTTAATTCACTGCTCAAGTTATCGAATTTTTATGTAGGGAGATTTGTGGAGATTATAATAGTATCATAATTTAAGTTACGAATTGATCTTAGGCTATTGTAGGGAACCTGAAAGCATTAGACAGTCACTTCGTCGTAGTATGGAACTGCTCAGCAGTGTGTTTACTGAACTCGGTTCTTAAGAAAGGCTTTCGAATTCGCGCATGGACGCTTAACCTCCAGACCGCTGACCTGGAATTTAATGGTCTTGACTTGCGTAGGTTATGTGTAAATGTGTGTGCGCATGCTACACACTCTACGCTTGTCTGCACCATATCGAGCTAAATAGCCTCCCCTATGACCGGATCAAAATGTGTAGCAAATACACATGAGGGGAGTGGTGGCCACCAGCCCACCATTGAGTTGTGCTATGAAGTGCACGGGGAAACATCAGCGTACCAATACATGTAAAGCATAAGAACTAGTCTTAGAGGTTGTAACTACTTATGTGGGGGCGAGTAAACTGTGTATGCCTTGGTGAAAAATTATATTACCTATACACATAAAGTGTACTTATCCTTGGTGAGGAGACCGCGCACCAAAGAAAGTTAATCAGAGAGAGACGTGTACCTATGGTGTTTACATGTGCCTCGGGGACAAGATCAGAAAAGCCGATAGGCTTAACCAACCACAACTAAGCTGGTTCACCACTACACGAAACTTAAGGTAATCCGATCACCATACTAGATCATCCCCTTAACTTACTGAAATTAGATTTACTCTCGTTCCCGAAATGTTAAATGTCCGTTCAAAGGTGAAAATGAGGCGACGTATTGACGACTATGTGATAAAAGAAACAGCCTGGCTTCAAATGATCTTCAAGGATGTTTTGAACGATAGATATAGATGGAAGTAGTGCATTGCCACAGATAAGAGCTATTTTGGAGAGTAATAAGATTTATGTTATCTATATTTTGTAGAATAGAATTTTGTAACCTAGTCTTCATGCTTGTTGGATAGACAATATGCTGTAACTAATGTCCAACGTAAGCAACTGATTTTGTAAGTCATCATAATTTATGTCTGAACATTAGATGCACGAGTCGTGAAATAATGATTAGTCAACTCATATATTTCCATGACTAAAATCTACTTTGAAGTAGGAACATCTTATTACAACATTAGTTTAAATTACCTAGTATTTATTCGCAATGCAAATATAAATCTACTTTCTACAATCCCATGAATACTCATGTGTGTGTACTTTTTTGTTGAGCCCATAGGGCTTGCTCAGCACGATTGGACAAATTAATTAGTTCACTATTATCAAGTAATTATTCACACGTCTTTTGACCTTATCAGTCATTCGCTCATATCTTGGTTGCTTTAATTCGAGTGTGTGTGCACACCTACTTCACTTATTACATCTCTGGCTTACTTTGTCGCACCGTAAATGCTAGTCATGCTTCATTGGATGAAATTGCCTCACTCACCACAGCCTCGCTTTTTGCCTGTGAGCTTTTCATTCTTATGTCTGCATGAATGATTGCCTGAAATAATCTCATCCAACCGGATCCGTATTTAGCTTCTTATTAATGCGCAGACAGGGCTCGCCTAAGTATTATATAAAGAGATTTATTTCATAGCAAATTTAATTGTCGGTAAATATTAGAATCAGATTGTGGGCCACCAAAATAGAAGTGAGTCGGACATGGAATCTAACGCAGCCACTAAATATAATCAATTGACTGATCATATTAAACATCTAATAAAACCAATCACTCAAAACCAATTGCTCAAGTCAAATTGTATTAAAAATTTTGTCTATTAGTTGCTATCATTTTTTTTCAAAAATATACATTGAAAAAAATTTTCTCAATCATCATTATCGTCATCATCACCGCCATCACTGTCTCCTTCTTCTTCTGCCTCCTCTTCTTCTTCCTCTTCTTGACCTTCATTTCGACGTTGAGCTGCTTCAGCTTGTGCAGCTCTCCAAGCTGCCTCTTCTTCAGGTGTTGGATCATCAACCTCTGTTATTTCTAATCCTGATGGAAATTCTTCAAATGGCTTAGACATGAGTTGAGGATTAAAATTCATCCCAGTATATTTTAATCCCCAACCAATGTAGATATTTTCAAAGAATCTGACAAATAGTAAATATTAAAAAAAATATCTAGTATTATAGGTGTAATAAGAAATAAAATTTTATAGACTATTTCTGACATCATAGTTTATATATAACGAAATATCATAAATTTATTGTCTACTTCTATTGCTCCATACAGTCAATCGTATCAGATATGTTTAAGTCATTGGAAATTTCTGGAATGTGGTTTTAATTGTTGAATTCCCTATTAAGCAATACCTCATTTTCTCTGTTGACAGTTCTTAAAATTTTATCAAGTTTCAACCAAATTTCACAAGTATTCATTTCGATATGGTTGAGAAAATTTGTAGCTCAGATGGACGACTGTGATGGTGTTTTGTTCTCGGACCTGGATGTTTTGGTTGTCAAGCTTTCATTGTTCTTCTTCTGGACAACATTATCAGTACAAACTTCAACACAACTGTTCATTTCAGTAATTTGCTTTTGGAAGGTAGCAGTTTTTTTCTCGTAGGGAAATTACAACAAACGAAGAAATTCTGTGATTCATGAAAAATTTAACACCTGTTCCACTCTACACATTAAACACTGATTGAAGTCAAAAATAGCAATAATTGTACTCAGGTTATATAACTTGAAAATATCGTGTTAATTTTGAGGCGTAGCGTAAAGATTCGTTCTGATACTGTGACGTTCACCATTACTTCGTTCTCCATCTAATGTCAGTGTGTTGTAAAGATTAGTTAGCTTTAAACCATATCAAATCTGCTTAAAATTTACGCCTACACTTTAGTAAATGTTATAATTCTTTCTTATTACAACCGAGTTATTCCTAATGCATAATAGTATTCTCGGACACAAGTTCACTCGATACGTTGTCTCAAATCAGAACATTGTTGAACAAGAAAACAGATTATATTCAAATAAAAAGTTAAATGGAAGTCAGAGAAGTCCAAAAGCCTTAGTATAGTTATAGTTTTCTTACATGAGAATATTCTAGAATTGTTCCCTCAGTATCGGCTAGTGCAGATTGGATACGAAAGAGCCAATTAGCATGCAACAACACAATCATGCTTTAATCCAATTTATGTCTTACTACTATCCACTTGTACTTTTGCCTATTATATGTAGTGACGTAATCTTTTTCATTCCATTGTGATTATGACTCAAAATGCCTTGATTGGTTTAACATTTTCATATAAATATTCATGTATATTAGAGTAAAGCCTGATGACGGTCTAATCGAAAACAATATTGTTGTTCGCTTATATGTGTTGTTCCAATTTATGTCCCGTTAACAACAAGTAAACATTATCTGTTGCTTTTAAAACATGTGTTTATGCACAATTGTACTCTTTTGGGATTTATTATGTCATTCATAAGGGTTTGGTTTTTGTTCAACATTCTCATGCTGGTTAAATAAAAACACCATCTGAAATGTTCTATGGACACAATATTCAGCGTTCTATGAACTGAAACAGTGATCATGCAGTTTAAAATTTTCTCCAGTTTTATCCATCTTTTTACTTCAATATGTATGTGCACATATTTACTGTTGTCTATCTGCACTTTATTATTCAATCAAGTATATAGGAGCTTATTTGTGCTGTTTCTTTTGAATAAAGTTTATAAATCGCTGTACGTATTACAGACATACGTATTCACGATAGTCAACTTCGGCGAACAGATTACAATTTCAGTTTTTCTATACAATTCGAAAAATTGCCAGATCTGTTGGTATGGAAAATTCAGTCTTTTATAAATGTACTTTTATGATGAATATCTTGCTATAAAGCAATGGATATTTAGTAGTTTTTTGGATTTTCAATGTCTCATTAGATTATTATCACTGCAGTGAAAACTACAATGTGTCGTATGCTGATTTTTTTGTTGGTGCTGTTGTGGTGTGTGCTACTTATACGAACGATATAAGTAGTATAAGAAGGGACGTGAAAGAAGAAGTCTCACGGTCAGAAGAGGAAAACGGAAAGCAAATGGAGCAAAAGCAAGAAGTAAATGGAGTACCAACAGGAAGAAAAGGAAGCAACAACAGGAATGGAAGAAGGATGGAGTGTTGGAAGTCACGACTCAAAGATGGTGTGCAAATGGAGTGTTCAATGTAATGTTATCGTTTTTAATTGACGCAGAGTGTAAATTGAGACACAACAATCTTCCTCTCCCGCCTGTCTTCTCACTGTGATCTGTTTGCCTACACTTATAATATTCGTAATTTAACGTTGAATAATTTGAATTTTGAATTTACTTTATTACATGATAATACACCTGTCATATCAAAATGATATTTTTTTTCTAGATATTCCAAATTAAGGATATTTAGGTATCTTTAATAAGCTTTAACTTTTACATAGTTATTCCTGTTTAGGATCGATATCATAGAAATAAATCTATTTGATGTAAAGTTGAAAAGAAATGAAAGCACACATGACCTCATAAATCTAGTGGACAGTTTGTATAGTTCATTAAATAAACTATAGTTTAGTATTAAAAGCTTTTTTTAAGACTATTTCAAATTTCTTACCTGCCTTGTGCTAATGCATGTGCACCAGGCCAAATATTCGATGATAATACAGCATATGCATAGTGAGGTATTAAATGTGAAGTAATACGAGTCGACCATGGTGGAATACCACCACCAATTTCTGCATCTTCCGATAGTGGGGTTAACAGTGGAGGTCCTGTCTCTGGTTCCGGTTCATCAGGCTCTTCTTCTTCTTCATCTTCAGACATTTCATCCTCTAGGTCATCTTTTGTCTTGATTGCTGTGTTTAACCTGAAATTGAAGAATAGCCAGAGATGATTTATAGTGAAATAAATATGTTAATGGTGTACCTACCGATCATAGTAGCTTTATGATATGGCGATTCATAGACATTGGATTTTTCAGAGTTAAACGACTATACGTTTAGGAAGCGTTTTGATGATGAGAATTACTGTTGAAATCGAGTCATTAAATCTTGAGTAGTGTAGTACAACAGTGATCTGAACTGTATTTCGCTCGGCTAATTTTCGAAAGAACGTTATGATAATCAAAAGGCACTTTTAGACACTTTATGTACACCTAAATATATAACAGTAACCATGTGTATGTTTGTTTGTTTTGTGATTGAATAGCAGTGAACTTGATTTTACTTTCGAGTTGTGTATGATTTAAGAATCAATGTTCCGTATCGACATGATTTACTCCAACTTTTGGACAGATGAATTGTTCAGTTACCGTTTGTTCCTTCATTCAGATATTTACACTTGTCATTCGATTGAGTATAACCTTAATCATGTTTTTATGTGTGTTGACAGAGTTATCTTATCATTCCCTGAGTTGGCGTGTTACCGAATATCAATACCTCATGCAATTGCCAAGTCTTTTCTTAAATTCAAATCCGAATTTTAACATGCCGTTACTCTAAACCTGTTAAATCAACAGAACATATAGTAAATAAACAGGATCGATATTTTTTACCGTTCGATCACTAACGAGTTAACCATTTCGGCACGAAAATTCCACCTAATAACCACCCCTACAGTTTTACACTTTCGAATTCTGATTACACACTGTTTAACAAACAAGTTCAGAACCTTTTGGACGGTATTTCGGCATCGTACCTCTCTCATACAATGAAATTTAAAAACTGTAGAAAACCATTCAGAGTGAAGCACAGCTAAGTGCCTTTTATAAAGTTTCATCTCATTTAAAAAACATGCAGATACTAAAAGTTAACAGTTTACAAGTAAAAACAGGGCACTGAATATTCTGGAAATTAATGTTTCAAAAATACCTAATAGTTTAAAATGGTAAGTAATTTCAGCCACGCATTTTGTATAATGAATGACTTAAACCATTTACTCATCGAAACGATAGAAAATCAGTTCATCTTGTCTTGTTTAGTAGTAAAAAATATTCCAGAAACAAACAGTTTGGGAATAAATGAGTGGAGATAGTGAAAAAAGTTACATTTAAAGGGAACTAGTGTAGTGTGTGTACTTTAATGTCGAACCCACAGGCTGGTCCAAACCTTCGGACAAATTAATTAGTTCACTATGCTCAAGTTACTATTCACTTGTCAATCATTCGCTCATGTAATGGCTGCTTTTATTCGAGTTTGTGTGCACGTTACTTCGCTTATTACATATCTTGCTTTTCTTTATCGGACCACAAATGCTTTGTCACGCTACGTAAATATCGGAATCAGATCGCGGGCCACCACAGTGGTTAGCCCGATGTCGGATTTAACGCAACCTACAGAAACTACATCAACAAAGCAGCTCTCAAACTCAATGCACTCGATGAACAGCGCCAACAACACAATCTCGTATCCTATGTAAGCAGAGAAACCACTTCAGCGATTATATGCCCATACAAAAATCATATTATCTTATCATCCTTTCGATTAATTATCAACTCGCTGCATTCATTTATTTCTCGAATTATCCGATTAGTGTTATCATTACCGTATCCACATGGAAAAACTATTATTCTCATTCATAATAACACTTATGGAATCGTATTACACACACCATATTAACGGAAATTACAGAGTTACTCAGTAAAATCGGAACAGCATATCGTAAATCGTTAATTTGCAAATTATCAGTCCATCATATCGAACTGGACTGTTCGTGTTGCAAAACATCAATCCATTGTCACTATTTATGCGTTTCATACAAATTCCATTGTGTTCTAACTCATCCTTTCTTGATCTTCCCCCATCTTCTGCTGCCAGACATTACGTTGACACTCACGTCACATACTACTTATAAGTAGCTCGCACAACACTAAGAGTGATTTCGTTCCATTTTTTTCGGCTGTATCTCATTATTATGCTTTGAATCACTTATCATAGCAATGGCTCAATGAGATTAACTATGCAGTATCATTTCCGTGGTTATATGATTATCGCATGACAAATATTTCTGATATACTTACTAGGTGCTCATACCTCGAAAATCTTGCAGCCTGTTAAATAAATTGGTGGTATGATGACTTGCATATGCACACGAAGCGTCAGTGTGAGTAGTCGAGAGGATCTCCTGTACGCTACTAATAGCATGTTTTCGACTACCCCCAACAGTGGCAACGATTTGCAACTCTATCATATGCATCAGTTTGGAGTCATGCACTCAGTGGTAACAACTTATGTTTTCGATACGTAACTAATATTAAAGCATCGCATTTGTATTCAACATTGTTCTCCAATTTTTCCACGATAATATCAACTGAACTTTCTTTAACATATCTGCAGCCACTTGATTTATCGATGAGCATTGCCATAATGTTCATACGTTTATCAAATCTCATCTTCATTGTTCACGCATATATAACTTCACGCCACATTCATTACTCCCTAAACATTGCACGATTACTGTAATTGGTACATATTATGACTGCATTGTTAATCGGTACATTGAGTTTAGAGTTAGTCTCTCCAAAAAACGATCATGTTCGTTGTATTCGAGTCAGTTTTATTTGTCCGGCATATACAGTCGTATGTATATTAGTACTTTTCTTCAGGCCTTACTACAATTTCTCAACAAACAAGGTCGAGCGCATCTCCATCCAACGATTTAAACTAAGCAAGGCCTCATGATCAAAGAGGAGTATGACTCAACGTATCTCGTCTCAATGATCAGTAATATGTTCCTCTGATCATTTTACTAATACATACTCAGCGAAAACTCGGTGCATCTGGTCAAGTTATCAGCAACTACGTATACTGACTTCGCAGTTTATAATTATTTTCATTTGCAGTACGACAGTGAATGTCATCCACAATGCAGTTATCATTTTACGGTTTGATTGACATTATCCTACGTACAAAAACTCAATGTTTGTCAATGCAAAATCATTAATCCACTAATCTACGCCTAATTTTATTGTAGCTTGTTAAAACATGATGATGTTCGTTATTCGTACATTTTGTTAGTGTCACAGATCAATTTCCGTTCTATTTCGCCCCACTTATTTTCAAGGTTTATTCCGCTATGATACATACATAAAAGATAGTCACAGGTTATTTTCACGTTATTCTAAATTACTCATACGAACCTGTTATTTTATTGCACACATGATGACACTATGAACTCATGTTGATTTTATTTCAATATGCTTATTAACCTTCTTACAATCACATACAAACATTTTCATTTGAGTTCGCGCTTATACGATAGTAATATATTTTGTTACATAATATGACACTTTCGTAACATACACTCACCCATTTATGTACTCATTTCAAAATCGTACTCTTTTGCTAATCACTGCTCACTCCTTCAGCATTATTTCCAAAAATAGACATTTTTTCAAATTCATGTGCAATTTTCTACGAAGAGGCTTAGTAGTGTGTGTACTTTTGTGTCAACCAATAAGGCTTGTCCCAAACTTTGGACAAATTAATTCGTCCACTGTTCTCAAGTTATTATTCACTTGTCAATCATTCGCCCATATCTTGGTTGTTTTATCCGTGTGTGTGTGCACACTTACTTCGATAATTACGTGTCTGGTTTACTTTCTCTCGCTATAAAACGCTGAGTCATGCTTCATCGCATGGAGTTGGCTCAATCGCCTTCTCCGCCTCGCTTTTGCTAGTAAGATTTTCATCATTCTGATGTCTGTCTGCACGAACGACTGCCTGAAATAAACTCATTCAACCGAATCCGTACTCGGCTTCTTGTTAGCGCCGTCGCACAAAAGCATGTCCCCCTGAGTATGATATACGGAAACCGAAGGGGAGATTTATTTCAGAGCATACTCGGACGTTCGTAAAAAAAGGAGCTAGATAGCGGGCCATTAAAGTGGTGAGCCTTATTTCGAACCCAACTAGGCCATCAAAGTGATGAACCCTACATTGAATCCAACGCAGTCACAACAGAAGCAAATATCTTTTACATTCTAGCGTTATTTCTTGTAATTTTTTGTTTTAAGTCGCATTGTGAGAAGAAATCACATAGATTTCCAGGATCACTTGCCAAACCTTGTGTTTTAATTTAGAATTTTCTGTTATAGCATGTATGAACGTAGTTGGGAAAGGTTACTGTTTCTCATTTAGCTCATCTAGAGTCGATAAATTTGGTATGCATTTGGTTTATATGTTGAATAAATTAGAGTAAAAAAAAGCTAAAGTTCACCTCCCAAAGATGTGTATTTGTATCAGCTCAAAATTCTTCGAAATCCAAATTCATAATGCCTAATAATAAGTCGACATGTCAAGTCTCAAATTCCGTAATGTTTTTTCAAATGTTGATTTTGGCTGACAATGTATATTTTAGTGTACATTTCATCTGATTAAACTCAAGTTAGTGTTTAGTGAGTGTTTAGGATTAAAGACAGATGGAAAAAAAGTCGGGAAAAATAGCAATTAGCTAGATTACGATGCTAATTACGTAGTTACAAATGATGACATTCAATTTATAGTTGTGAGTAATAAGTCTGTACAGTAAAAGAAATTCCTTATATCTGCCCTCTGTATTCCGAGTGGTTGATATATATATATATATATATATATATCAGTTTTGTACTTTGATCATTCCATATAATGTATCTGCTTTATTTTGTGGTAATTTCTAAACATTGCCGTATTAATGAACCTTACATGTTTGATCATTTAGATGATATAATACAATTGTTAGAAGTATCGACAGTGATTTGAATGAACTATAAAATAATAAAAAAATCCATTTTTATTCACAGACGTTAGAGAGTTGTGATATTTGTATGAAATGATAAATATTGAGTACACAGTCACAAACATGATTTATAATGTCAATAAAATAAGCTCACATGTATTAACGATCTTTTCCAGTCTTGACGTGCTAGTCCACATGAGGCTACTAGAATAAGTTATGGACAGACTTCAATAAGGAGCAGTGTTAACTGTCTTAAATAATACAACGGATTATAGTTATCTTACACTGACATGATTGCGGGCTTATTTAATTTATTGACATGAAATCTATCTCAGTTAGTAGATAATGCAACATCTTATCATTTGTTTAACATCAAATGTATTACTGTTCTCTACGTGTAGATTGTAAACTGATTAGTGATTCATACTAAAGAACTTACATTTTCCACTGAATTGTAGGACTTTTAATGAAATGTTACGATAGTTGAGGATGAATAATGATATCAACATAAGTTTTATCAAGCATAATTTGATGGTATAAGGAATTTAGTTTAATAACAGGACTTTCAAGTTACTACTTCCGAATTATTGACATATATATATATATATATATATATATATATATATATATATATATATATATATATATCAACCACTCAGAATACAGAAGGTAGATGTAAGAAATTTCTTTTATTGTACAGATTTAATGCTCACAACTATAAGTTGAATTTAGACATTTTGTGAAACCATGAGTCGATCAATGTTAGACCACCATTAGAAACCTGGAATCACTGGACGGCCGTTTCGTCCTGGTATGGGACTCCTCAGCAGTGAGCATCCACGACTCCTGCACCCAGGACCTTCGGTCTTGCATGTGAACGCCTAACCTCTGGACCACCGAGCTGGTACCTAACGGTGTTAATGTTTAACTTTGATCAATTCACGGAGTTGCAAAACCTCATACACAGTCTTCGGTAGTTACTGTCTACACCCGAGCAGATTGAACTTCACTGGTCACGTCTTCCCACTAGAACTCGGAGAAGATTCCTCACGAAGCCAGTCACTAGTGAGCACAGGTGCAGGAGTCGTGTATGCGCAATGCCAGGACGAGACGGCCTTCCAGTGTTTCCAGGTTTCTAATGGTGGTCTAACATTGATTGATTCATGGTTTCAAAAATATGTAACTTAACAATCTTCACAACCCCGTAATGTATAAGTTGAATGTCATTACTTGTAACTACGTAATTAGCACCATAATCTAACTAATTGCTATTTTTCCAAACTTTTTTTCCATCTATCTTTAATCCTATACACTCACTAAACATTAATTTGAGAGTTTAATCGGATCAAATGTGCATTAAAATATATATTGTCCGCCAAAATCAACATTTGAAAAAACATTACGGAATTCGAGACTTGACATTTCACCATAAATAGTATATATATATATATATATATATATATATATATATATATATATATATATATATATATATTATTTCATTCCAAATATGAACTGGTTAGTTTATATATCTTTCCATTTCGAAAGATATTAAAATGGTTTAAATAAAGAATCAGTATTAAACTATGTACAACTGTAAAAGCAAATTTTATTCGTTATTCGTCTTTACTAACAATGCTAATTGTTTTTCAAAGTAAAAATTCGATCGATTTTAATCAATAAATCCACTTTTTTTCCTCTCCAAATTTATATGATGAAAACAAAAAAAAACAATGGTAAAACTTACCAAACAGTTCGACCTTGTGGTAATATATAAGCTGTATGATGAACCCAATTAGTTAATGTAGGATCAGTTAAATCATATATAGTCATTGGTTCATATTCAGGATTCTTGATAAAATTCTCGCGTAAAGCATCTTCTTCCATTTGTTCTTCTTCATCTTCATTAAATTGATAATAATTAATTGGAGAAATAATAGTTGATGCAGAGATTCGTGCTATTTGTGCTCGAAGAAAATGTTTTTCAACGCCTGGAAATGTTGGAAATGTATTGAGTTCGGCTTCTAAATCTCCTGTACAAAAGTATTTGATCATACGGCTATTGACAATCTAAGAATTTTGAATAGGTTATAATAGAAGAAATATTATAGAAGTTATTATTACCATTAATTCTATTCATCATAAGCGTTCGGTTGACTAAAAACTACGGTTACATAACTAATTGGTTCTACTTTATTGCCAGTCAGTTATTTACAGGCTCTAGAATTCACGAACACTTCTGGCTTGTTTATGTATTATTATTTTTCATTTTATACTGTGATGTAATCCTGTATGTCTGTATATAGATCAGGTCTGTTTGAAATATATATATGTCGTAGAGGCTGGTTGTTGACTTTTGGATTCAAGGCCGGGTGCAGAGGAGGCTCAGGAAAGACGGGCCATCCCAAGGTCACTACTTGTGCTAGTCGGGTATGTAATTAGTCAAACTGAGGGCGCTGGAAATAGTCAATATGAAATATACCATATTGAAGATATAACAGAACACCACACTTGCAGTTGCCCGATAACATGGTGAGCAGTAAACAAAGAATTTTATAACAACTAAACACTAGTTAAAAATTGATATTTTTGGAAAATTATTTATCGATAAAAAGTTTGGGTAAAATAAATTTCACAATGTATGAATGAAAAAGATACGCATTTTTGAAACCATGAATCGATCAATGTTAGACCACTATTAGAAACCTGGAAGCACTGGACGGCCATTTCGTCCAACTATGGGACTCCTCAGCAGTGCTCATCCACGACTCCTGCACCTCGCAGGATTCGAACCCAGGACTTTCGGTATTGTGCGCGAACGCCTAACCATCGGACTACTGGGCAGGCATCTAACGTTGATATGTCTAACTGAAGAGTCCCATAACAGGACGAAACGGCCGTCCAGTGCTTCCAGGTTTCTAATGGTGGTCTAACATTGATCGATTCATGGTTTTAAAAATGTATAACTTAACAATCTTCACAACCCCGTAATGCAATAAAAGCGATGACACAGATTAAATGAATTTTTAGTTAGATGCATAGCAAAATTAAAGTTTATCTGTTGTATACTTAAGGATGACTTCTACAATGCGGAATGCATCACAACTTTGGACTAAAAAAGATCATCAATGGTAGTAAAAATAGTGACGGCTTTTATAAATCATTAAATGGAAACAACTTGTAAGATTTTACAAAGAGTCAATTTGGACTTTTCGGATGAATGAATATAAAAAGCCAAACTCAAATTATTTCAAGGTAAATAATGCAACAGGCTAAAAGTGAAACCAACACAAGAGTACAGTTGTTAAAATAATTGTTTGATAAGTTGTTAGTTGGTCCTGAGGCGTGAAAATGGAGCTTAGAAAAACGCAACTGTTGAAATTTAAAAATATGTGTTGAAGGATGAATGTAGTTAGACTATTTCGAAAAGGTAGATCACCCCATACTTTTTATAATTTATTTATTTAAATTGTAACTTAATATCAAAGAAAGCTTTTAAACTGATTAGTATTATGTCAGTCAGTTGCAACGTAGAACTTCGTATGTATGTACATAAGTTCATGTTGCCACACAACATCAGCACAGAGACCCAAATGTCAAATCAAATCGCATAGTGATAAGATAGCAGAGGTATTAATGGTAATGAAGAAGACTATGATTTGAAGATATTACTCAAGAAGTATAATTCAGTGAGATAAGGTTAGAAAGACAAAGGTAGAGGTGCTGAAGAATCCATAAGATTAGGATTTGAGAGAGCACAACGAATGGATGCACTTGCACCATTGCAAACGATTTTGAGCCATGTCGTTCAAGGTAGAGATCATCGATTACTAACATCTCGCGGACCCCAACCAGGTAGTCTACATCTACCAACATGACTCAGTCCACTAGTCAGTGACTTTATGGATTTCTGCCATGGTTTGGTCTGGCCGCCTCTAGCTTTCTTCCAACCTACTCCTATACCACAAAACATAGCTCGTCGCGGCAATCGGTGGTTAGGCATTCGTAACACATGTCCAACCACCTCAACTGATGAAGTTTCACTACTTCATCTATTGATTTGCCATCCTTACCTAGAACTCGTTTCCTAACGACAGCATTGCTTACTCGGTTTTCGCAAGATATACGAGCGATGCTCCGAAGACATCTATAATCGAATACTAGTAACCTACGAATGTCCTCTACTTTTAACAGCCATATTTCGCATCCATATAGTAGGAGAGAGCGAACTGCTGCACAGTAAACTCGTCCTTTGGTCAGCAAACGGATATCTCGCCTGCGCCATAGGTGACGCAGGTTGGCAAAAGCCAATCGAACCTTCTGTATCCGTGCTGAGATTTCGTCAGTCACCAGGCCATCAGCACTGATGAAACTCCCGAGATAAGTGAAGTGGTCTACACACTCGCCTACTTCACTCTCTATCACTAGTTGAGGTGTTGATGCAACCCAATCTGGAAGCAACATTTCGCATTTCGATGGGGAGAATCGCATCCCGAACATGCTTGCATTGTTGCTTATGGTAGTCAGTAAACTCTGCATTTTGTCAGCGTCTTCACCGAACAGAACTAAGTCATCGGCATATTCTAGGTCAGTAAGCGATTTTCCTGGTGGATGGTCAACCCCGGAAAGATCTGACGAGCTTAATGTTAACTGTAAGAGGATGTCTACGACAAAGTTAAACGAGAATGGAGAGAGTGGACATCCCTGACGGGACACCACTTGACGTAGAGAATTCAGATGACAGTTGATATTATGACTGAAAACAGAGTGGAAATTTTTATGGAGTAATTTAAAATATATACTCTAAAAGCTTGAGGACAAAGCATTTGATCTTTAAACAACACTGATTACTAGATTCCAGCAATAAATTTTATTTACAAGAAGGATTGACTGAATTTTTTGAAAAGAACTTGTTATCAAGCAAAATGGAGTCAAAGGAAGATGGCTTCTTCACAGCTTGAGAAATGATATCATTGTCCTATGTCTAGAACTGGAGTCTTATCACATGCAATACCAAACCCTAAACATACTGAAATAATTTCCGCAAACCATAACGACTTTCGGGACAATCCGAGAATGAAAGAACAAAATTATCTATGCATTTAACAAGATTTTGTATTAGCCCTATAGAGTTCTATAGAGACATACACCAAATTTTGTGTAAATGGAGAGTTATTTAATGGATGGTAAAATTGCAAGGTCAGTAAACATACGTTCGAAAGTATTGAAGGCAGACACAGAAGTAACAGCGAAGATTTTCCAGATTATCTTCAGAAAGATTTGGGAGGAAGAACAAGTACCAACAGGCTAGAAAGAAGGACACCTCATCCAGATACCAAAGAAAGATCTCAGCGATTGTGATAACTACTGAGGCATCACTGTTTACTTAACACCGGAGAAACCCTTCAATGAAGTGTTATTAAACAGGATGAAAGATTCAGTAGATGCCCAGCTTCAAGATCAACAGGCTGGATTCAGCAAGGGTCGATCATGTATCGACCAAATCGCGACACCGCGGATAATTGTGGAATAATCAATTGAACGAAACACACCACTGTACATCAGCACCCTAGATAATAGAGAAAACATTTGCTAGTGTCGACATGTTCACACTAAGGAGGATTCTTATACTCCGCAGTTTACCTGAGAAGATGGTCAACATTATACGGAATCTTTTTGGTAAATTAGGATCTACAAGGCCGTGCATGGAGGACACCCGATAAACTAATTCACAATGAAGGTCGGTGTTAGACAGGGTTGCTTACTCTCAATCGTACTCTTTATTCTAATGGTTTACTAGATTATGAAGATGTCGACATCTAAGGAGAAGCACAGAATGTAATGGCCGAGTCGGATGCAGCCGGAAGATCTGAACTTCTCAAATGAGCTGGCCATTCCATCTTACACACAAACATAAGTGCAGGAGAAGATTGTCATTGTAACAGCAAGCTATGCAGTACTAGGTCTCAGCATATCCAAGGGAAAAAGTAGCATACTTCGTTACAAAAACGGATATTGCGCTCCAACCAAATCACATTTGATGGAAAAGCTTTGTAGGATGTGGAAGCATTTACAAATCTGGGCTGCATCAAGGTGGATAGAATACATATGTCAAGACACGGATTACGAGAACAAAGGCAGTATTTCTATAAAAGTTGGAAAAAGGCACTGTAGGTGGATTGGATACACATTGTGGAAATCACCCGCGCCACAAGACAAGCTGTCACTTAGAATCCTGAAGGCAAAACACATTGAGCCGAGAAGCGGAAATAGAAATAAAAAGAATGGATAAAAATTGGTTAGAGCTGGAAAGGAAGGCCCAGGGCAGAGTAGGTTGTGCTCCATCAAGGGTAACAGGCGTAGGTAAGTTGAATGAGGATGATTAGTAATGATTAGCGTTTTATTCTGCGTCAGTTTCAATCTTTTGAATACGGAAGATAATATAAATGTAATGAGCACTTTCAAAGCAAGTAAAAATCCTAAGTCATGTTTAGAAACATACTCTTCCGGCAAAATTGTTGTACTCATCCAACCTTTAATAAAGTGTTATCGCAGATCTAAATACGATAATTACAGATGCACTAACATTTGAATAACATGTGCGGTAAATTTACTTGCTCTGGTGTAACATCAGGTAATTTGATCCAGTTATCTCCCAAAATGTTGCATACGTAGTATGTTTTTCTGTTAGTGCCCTTCCCATGCTCTTCTGGTGGCACTGGTGGTTGTGGTTTCCATTCAGATTTCGGAAGAGGATCCATATCAAGAACTGCCAACCTCTCACCGATTTCTACATCTGATCTCCCCGTGCTTTCATTATCCTTCAAATTAGGGAGAGTTTTAGATGGAAAAATTTTCTTATCAGCATGCTCCACTTCTTCTACCTCCAAAATATAGTAATTCCGGAAAGTTCCAAAGTACTTGCCCCAAAACCTGACAAATGTTGGAGAACTTTTTATCACAAACGACCGGATTGATAATGAAAGGTTGACAACCTCTTCCTGAGGAAAGCCTTCGTCAATAAATTATAAATGGTGTCGTATGACAAACCTAGGCCAGCTTGATCCAATGCAAAGAAAAGCTTGGATAAATCTGGTAAGACTTTAGGTTCTCTCGATCCTTTAAGGGCTACCTGATTAATTTAAAACAAAGGTTATAATAGGCATGTATCAAGATTAACTGAAAAGTATGGTCGACGAAGTAATGCTAAGTTAATTTCATCAGAAACTTCTTTGGCAGCTCGCAACAAATGCAAATCCGCTGAACATTTGTATCTTTTGATTTTACGACTAAGGTTCTCTAGCTCTACAAGTGAGTCACCACGAGTGTCTTTCAAAATGCTGCACAGAATTTGAACCAAATGGTCATAACTAAAAATGTGGTTAAAAATTAGTTGAAATCAGTTTAAGAACAGACATATTAAAACCGTCTTTGTTACATTTCTGCAACAGGCCTTTGGCATTGACAAAAGCGAATTTATCCGGCTTCAGCACGAAATCATTGTTCTCAGGGGAAGCTTCATTAGACATCACCTCTTCATTGCTGACGCCGGACATCGTTTTTCGCTCCTAAGCGTTGTTGTGACAACAAGGTAGTCAAACAACCATTTTGAAATGATAGAAGTGATACTGACTACTTAATTATTTTTACGGTTCAAGCGTTCTATAATAGCATTATTATAACTATTGGCTGTAAGTGCGCTAAGCGCGCCGAGATTGTGTAGCGCGGTGTACGCGTTTGTCATGTGTGCTTATTATAATCCCGGATATCATTCAAGCTACCCAGAAAGTACGTCACTGTTATTGCTATCTTTGCCTTTTAAAGCTCCTTATTACCCTAATTTCCAGCCCAACAATCAGGAATATATTCCTGCTGCTCCACGAACAAATGGTAATACAGCTGTGTCTTTCGTCCAAAATCAATTTATTCCTGACTTGGCTGTCCGTTATGGGTCAGCTATGTTTGATGAAGGTGCAAACTTCGTTCAAAAGAATGTAAGCTGTCTCCTTCATTTATTGTCTTCAGGTTGACCAATACGTTAATCGATTTCGCGTGAAATACTACTTTTCTGTGAATAATTCATACGTTGCCAAAAAAATTGGACTGATATTGTTTCCGTTTGCTCACACAGTAAGCATTGGCGTAGTTTGTGTTCTTTTCTGTTAATGCTATTCTATCAATGTCTGATGATATTGTTTTTTGAGTTATATTTCTGACCTTACAAGGTAGTCATTATCTAAATGGAGGTTTTAAGATCATGCACACAATTAGTAAGGTAATATAATGTGGTTTGACTTCTAATATATTCAACATTTATACTATATGATTCATATTATACAACTATACATCACTTAATTCATTCTTTATATCCGATCGATTTTGTTTGAGAACTTGCATGCTGTTAATATCCTGCTACTTTTTGTTACATAATCTTCATTATTAAACCGGCTGTACCTTTAATAGCTTAGGTGTTCAAGTCGATTGGTTATGCAAAATTTTTCGGGACAATGAAGTGACATAAATCTCGGAACGAGTTCAGAGACGAGCAACGAAATAGATGATAGGGTTGAAAAATAAAACTCCCCTTGAGTTACAAGCGAACCAGAGGTGATCTGATTATGGCATACATATTAACCACGCCAAACCATCCCAACATAAGCATCTTACTGATGCGTCACCGCCAATCCCCTCGAGGTAATCGTCGAAAAATTGAACATCAAAGAGCGGACACTCAGGTTCGTGCCCACTTTTTCTCATTAAGTGTCGCTGCAAATTGGAATGCTTTCCAAGCCAACGTGAGCACATCCCCCTCTGTGGACAGCTTTATGAAGAGACTTGGTAAACACGTACTCACACATGGATTATCATCTCCCTCGTGGATAAGCTGTGGATGATGCATGTCTTGAAACCTGTTAGCCGTTAGTATTGCCATCTCCTGAGATCACTAATCTAATATATCTCGCCTATTATCTCTGTTTCCTCTCTCTTGCTTACACTTCGTCCCTCTTGCACAATCTTCACTACCAATTAATAAACCAAATTATCCATTATCTACTTAGTTGTGAAATCTTACTCTTATTAGCATTGGAATTTTATCCTTATTTTTCTTTATATTGCAACTAACTGATCTCCGATCTAGTAATGTGACATCTGCTGGTATCCAGAAATTTTACTACCCTGAAATAAACGTATTCGTTCAAATCGCGGGGCATACAAACTCACAAACAACTGCCAATTGACTAGAATTAGACAGTTTAGTGGCTAGACCCCCATTCATTGGAAACTACCAAACACCTGGAACCATATCGAAAGGACGGGAATAGAGCGCAATGAAATGATTAGGTCTATACTAGCTCGTGAAAAAGATATTTGATATTAAGTTTGATGAACCAGTACTAAATAGCAAACAAAGTGCACTCCATGAATTTAAGTTCTATATTGGTTGATATGCTTCAGTTCATCCTGTAAGTCTCTAGCCACAAGTTTAAGAATACCATGACTCATTAAACGGTCTATTCTAGTTGTGTCTTGTGTCCGGTTTCACACAAGATGAATTCTGCCTTGGCTCGATGTCTGTTAATTTAAGTGAAGTAGAGTAACATACTCTTGGCAACATGTTCTGTGACTATTAAATAGCTTATGGTTACTTACAGGGGTCTCAAAGAGCTTTTAGTTGAATACGTACAGTAAGTGAGTTAGTTGGTCCAGTAAACCCACACATCATTTTCCAGAATCATGTCCCTCCGCATTATTTAAACAAGTACCATCAAACCAGCGAAAATGGTTCAAATACTCATAGTACAAACCTTTTACATCATACCAGATGTTATTGCAGATGTTGCAAACAGGATTGCTGACAATTGTTTAGTGTCATTGTTTCAAGGCCTACTTCTTAGTATCATTATTTACTTCTCGTTTCGCCAAATGAGTTTGAATTTAAGATGTTAGTCCGATTCTTTAGACTTTCTTCAGCATTTTGCTTTTGTGATACGAAAAATGATTTTGTTTGAACACTCGTATAAATGCATGTTGTCATGAAATCATTCTCCGCATAATGTCTTCTAGAATATTTCTTTCAAAAAGTACTCACTACATTAAACCACATTGTCTTTAGTAATATCCTTATGTTATACAAATTGGCAATGGTTTATTAACTCCCAAGTCTGAAATTCATTAAAACCTATATGAGATATTCTGTGTCAAACTTCAGAGGTAAGGTTAAGTTTATTTAAGACGGTTCACTTTTCAATCAAAACATTGTCTCTGTAATAATATCCTGTTCTAAACACTTCAATATCAACCACAAGTTTATCATTGTTATCACTAATTTGCTATCCTCGTATCCGAATGTTTTATCTGGACAAATTTATCAGATAAGTCCATACATCATAATAAAACAGCCAAATAACTATGTCGATGTCACGAATCTTCAACTAGATATTTTTTTGTTATCTTGATATCGTATTGTTTTTGGTGTCGTTTATGATGAATATTAGGTGTAATTCCAATCGTGTAATCATCTAGTGTTAGAAATATATGCTTCAAGTAAGTTCTCCAACAAAATATCTGAGATATTTCAATCTACCAGACATTTTGATTAAAAGACAAATAACTGTCTTTTTGTGGATTTTGATTTTTCTGTATTCCTCTATCATGGTTTAATCCATCAATTAGGTAGTCTTGATATCTTCAAAACTTCTTGCGATTGCTTCAAATCGACCAGCTTTCGATTACTCAAGGAAGAAAAATAAAGGGTTGACAAAGTTATCAGGTATATAGTTTAAGGCTGCACAAAAAACGATCCATCACGTGAACGCCCCTATAACAGTACTGCAGGCCAGTTAGTGTCTGGAAGGTCAGGATCAAATGCTTCAATAATGAAGATCAATCACGTTAGCATGCGTGTAATAAAATTATACATTCAAGAAAAAAATATCAATCTGATGAATATATTCTGCACCTAACGTGGGAATTAATTCTCCTAGGGTTTGCTTATAGATTCCATTGCAACAAATAATTAATAGTACTATATTCTCGTAGACTGTTTTTTGCTTAGTAATGTCTATCACTAAAATGAATTGTTCTTTTCGAAACTCGTCTATTGGTTGTACATCTTAAATTGAACAAATTAATTCATTCACCAGATACTTGGATATGAGCCACGCTCTAAGTGTAGGGATTGATGCTACTACCGGGTTACGCGGTTCAAACCTGAAACGCACTGACTGGAAGGCAAATATCTTAACCACTAAGCCACTGCTTTACGTAGCTGTGCTGTAGGGACTATTATCGTAAGTCAAACAGATAGATATTAATTTCGTCCGAAATCGTTAATAGTAAACATATAGATAGATTTTAATGTTTCTGTTGTTCTGTAGACATCTATTTTTGAAACCTTAATTTGTGCGTTAAGCATTTTAGTACCACCTTTGTGTCAAGCGAAAGTGATTCCAAATCACATTTCGTTAGAGTGCTTTAATTGAGGAAATTAAATGCCTTTGTTTTGTAGTTTTGTTGCAGGTACAGCGAATCCACCTGTTCAACTGTGTACATCCATGCACTAGTCTTTGCCAAACTTTTATACACATTTAGTACGTATTTATCCCCTACATACTAATGAGCACCAGTCCTAATCTGTGAGACAAAGTCTAGTCATTTTTGACCGTATTTATCTGAAGTTTCATTATTGCCTGTTGCTACTTTACAGTAACCCATATTAATATCAAACATTTCATTTCTAACATGGTTAGAACACTATGTCTCATATTCTGTTACTACTTCTTTATGCTGTCAGTCTAAAATAATCTTTATAGTACAAGTAAATAAAATCTGATTGAGCTTTCAGCCTAAATTATATTGAAAAACGAAGGCATTATTAATCGACTGCAACTCCTAGAGAAGTAGAAATTAATATTTGTATTCTGTTAATTCAATGATCTAAAGTTGATCATAGTAAAACTTTACATATATTGATATATATATATATATATTTCAATATTAAATTACTAGTTCCCACATGAGAAATTGACTCGTAACCAAGTTGAACATATAAATATGTATTTAGTGAGTGACCACAAATTTTGTTGACAACTAAGACATTTTATCTTTTTTTATTGATCAGATTCATTAATAGACCGACATTACATAATCGTTTCTATTTTATTACAATTTATTCAATTGTTAATAGAGATGGGGTGTGAATTATGACTCTGCAGGACCTGTGCCTCCAGGTGATGATATAAATGCTCCTGATTTGTATATTCCTTTAATGGCTTCAATTACATACATACTTTTGAGTGGTGTTATATTTGGTTTCCAAGGTCGCTTTTCACCAGAATATCTTGGGATTTTATCAAGTGAAGCTTTTGGCTGGTTGTTACTTGAAGTTTTATTATCCCTTTTTGCAATCTATATCCTTAATATCCAGAACAATATTTCTTATTTAGATATAGTTGCCTATTGTGGTTATAAATTTGTCAGGTTAGTATTTCAATTGATGTATTCCTCTTCATTATTGATCGTGTTTAGAATTTCTCCATTAGTAATCATGTGATTGAATAATCAACTTTTTACGACTGGTTTGTCTTAATGGTAACAAGATATCCTAATGTCTGGACGGTTTAAAAGAAACAGATACATTTAGAAATAAGCCAAATCACGTGTAGCTCATTTAATGCACTATCAGCATACACCATACTTCTATTTGAAGTTTGTGCTGATGATGTTGTTCAGAAGAAAAATGATAGCTCCACAACCGAAATATCCAACTCAGAGAACGAAACACCACCACAATATATATATACCATTCTGTAGATGGCTCCTGCTGTTTGTTTTATACTTCTTAATAATTTCTAAAGACTTATAGAATGCCTATCACATAAAACTGTACTTAGAATGTGTCACATTTATTGTTCATCACCCTACTCGAAGATTATAGGCATATTCAATCATTTTTGATTTTGACCAATTTGGTCTCGTGTGCTGTTACGGGTATGAGGGCGGTTGTCACATCCCGGCTTCCCACACTGTGGAAGGGTATTTCTTGAAGGACCTGAAAAATAGGATAGATTAGTGTTGGTCTTAACGACATGGAAGCGTGACCGCTGGGTCCAAGGGACAACTGCTTGAGGCCGGTCACGCACGGCCTTTTTATAAAAGGTTTTTTGAGTATTAGCTGCGCTCTTAAAAGCCCTTAGTGGACAGCCCTTACCCCTGGAGACAGAAATCCGTGTGGTAAGGTGAGGTGTGACATTTTTAGGGTCGACCTTTTCTAACCATTCCTTCCTTGTGAGAAGGCAGCATCTCTGCAGATCCCGGTTGTCGGAGGGAAACACCTTACTGCTGTCACACCCCTCTACAGTCAGCAGTACGACTTCGCCCTTAGACCTGGAGTAGCTGCTTTTAGTCTGATCGACCTGCCTGGCATGGTAGAACCTTCAGGAACATATGTTCCATCCAATATAGCTCGGTTGGGTCATCCCGATAGGCAAGCTCGACCACCACGTCAAGGTAGCAGTTATGGTCGGGTTATAGGCATATTAGTGGGTGATATACCTTCACGGCTATTCTTAATCTTACGGGAACGTTAGCACTTTTGTCTTTTTGTCAACCTATAGCTTTTATAAAACAAGGCAGTAATGTAGTGCTCAGTCAGTATATATATTTTTTCAAAAAGGTACTCAGTCAGTCAGTTACAACGTAGAACTTCGTACATACGTACATCAGTTCAGGTTGTCATACCGGATTAGCACAGAGACGAAACTGTCAGTTCAAATCTAATAGTGGTAGCAATAGTAGAAGTATCAGCAGTAATGGAGAAAATCATAGTTTGAAGATATGATTCGAAAAGTATAATTCAGTGAGATAAATTTAGAAAGAGAAAGATGGAGGTGATGAGAAATTCAGGTTTGAATTTCATAGAACACAAAGAGTGTCTGCACCTGCGCCATTGCAAACGATTTTGAGCCATGTCGTTCAAGGTCTCTAACCATCGGTTATTTTCATCTCGCGGACCCCAACCAGGTAGGTACCCTAAGTCTATCAACCTGACTCACTCCACTTGTCAGTGACTTCATGCATTTGTGCCATGTTTTGGTTTGGCCACCCCTAGCTTTCTTCCAATCTACTTCCTCACCACAAAACATAGCTCGTCGCGGCATTCCGTGTTTAGGCATTCGTAACAAATGTCTCAACCACTTCAACTGATTGAATTTTCAATACTTCATAAATTGATCTGCCATCCTTACGTAATACTCGTTTTCTAACTATAGCATCGCTTACTCGGTTGCCCCAGGATATACGAAAAATGCCTCGAAGACATCTATGATCGAATACTAATAACCTACGGATGTCTTCTATTCTTACCGGCCAAAAAAGGTACTCATGAAACTCAGGATTAATCGTGTGCCTTTAATACTAAATTTCAACATGGTTGTAAAGATGGTGGCAGTTAAATATAGAGGTGCTTACTATTCTCATTCCAATAGTGACTCTACCAGCCAAATTAATGTACTAGTGATATCAAGTTCTTCGCGGGTTTTAAATCGTTAGCATGTTCTCATTCAAAAGAACTTACCTGTTGATAATATTCATACCTTAAAATAATAATAAGACCTTCATAGTAACATTCATCATCATCATCATCATCATCAAACGAAACAGTTTTAAAAAGTGTTTCATTATAGCTAGTCTATTCAAACAATCGAAATAATTGTCATTTGTTTCTGTCACCTGAATTTTTCTAACAAGATCTGTTTAATCCAGTCTCAATTTGGTGATATGAGGTGATGTTATCGATTATGTAATACAGTATCTTAACTACTTTTTTCACAACTGTTCTATTATTTTTATAGCATGATAGTCGTGTTAGTTAGTTATATTGGTTTGGACCGACCAGGCTACTATTTCAGTTTACTGTATGCTAGTTTAGCATTGGCATTTTTCCTCGTAAGTTAACCCATTGATTTCTTCGTTACAATTTTTTGTTCATCATAATTTTTATGACTATACACTAGCCAATACTCAGACGACCTTTAAGTAACCAATATGCAACAACGATGAGATACGGACCACTCTACGCTCAAACGAAGGCCCAATATTAACTTACCCCAACTGAAGAAGAAAAACAAGATCAATGATTATCAGTCCAAGATCTTTTACTGTGTAGTGGGACGAGTCGCGGTTGACTATGATCTTCACTGCGATTGGTGATCCCCACGACCTCGAACACGCCTCAGCTGCTGACGTTTCTTTGAAAGAAACCCCAGTTTTAGTGGGACGAGTTGCGGTTCACTATGATCACTATTACAGACCAATTACGTTCCCGTCATTAAATATAGTATCTCCGTGAATCAAGAACCGACAAGAAAATTTAATCCAAACTAGAGAATATCTTTACTGGCGATTTCATGGTATCGAAAGAATACCGCAATTGTGCCAGAAAAGAGGGGCGAAGGTACAATAACCAGGATCCTTGAAAATGGCACCAACACAAACGTGAAATTTGCGCGTAGAAGTACAAATAGACTAAAGGTTCAGTAAAACAACCACTGGTACACTTGGCTATAATAATGAATGTTTCTATTGAATCAATCGCGTTCTCTTCATAAAAGTGATGTCACTACAACAGTATTTCAGGCATTCTTCTATGTACATGCAAAACGAGACCACATTACATCAATAAATGGAAATTAACAGCTATACGTAAATAAACCAAAAGTGGCTGTAAGTAGGGGAGACTGCAAATAACAAATTAATTACAGATCAAAAACAATAAACCGTACAACTATAGTTAATGAGTCATTCAAGAGCTCGTGATACAGGAAATACATTTAGGTAATAATAATGATCCAATTACCCAGTAATTATAAGATTAGTTTGTATACAACAATAATTTGTAAACTGGGTTTTTAAGTTACTATTTCATTTAGCCTCTATCAGGATATAACAATAACCTCTTCTATTGATTTTCCGAAATTCGTTACTATGAATAATATACCAGCATTAACTTAGACTCTTTATTGAGAAAGATTAAACTTGATTACAACTCGCAAAAATTCTATTTTTGTGATTTCAAGTACTCTACCCATTGATCTAATCTCCTGGATCGAGAATCAATAATAAGACCATCCTTCCCCGACATAGTCTCACTTACAGTCAGGTTCCTGATACCTATTTCCTTGATGAGTCTGAATAGCTGTCTATTGTTACCTATCACCGCTGCCTTTTCCATCTCCCTTGCTTTCGCTACCCACCACTTTTCGCGATCATTGCGTAGGCTTTTTATCAGCTTGCGGTTAAGCTGACTTCGCTCTTCGGGCCGGCAGTTGCTCCGGAGAGTCTACGAGCGTTGTTAGACTAAGCAATATAGGCGGAAAGTTTAGACTGCGTCGTTTAGGCCCGCATGGTTATTGAAACTAGTCGTCAAAGACTTTGTGTAAGATAATTGAGATGTATTCACCTTTTATCTTCTCTTAAATCCTAAGTTTCTAAACTACCATATATATTTGAAATCATCAATCGATCATTGTTAGACCACCATTAGAAACCTGGAAGCACTAGGCTGCCGTTTCGTCCTGGGATGGGATTGATTGATGATTTCAAATGTGTAAAAAACACAAATCTCCAAAGCTCTAACAGAAAATACCTTATATATATCTTCTTTTATTTCTTACGTATTCCCTAAAATTGCATCTTTTATGTCTAATCTGTTACGTTACTGTTAATACCAATACTACGTTTTAATAGTTCAGAATCCGTCTTGACAATTCCATCTCGGTTGTACTTATGTAGTATGACATTTTGAGCTGATGTACTTTTGCGTCAGATTCTACTAGATTGAGTTCAATTGACTGACTAAAATGTCAATTATTGATTTTTTTAAACACTCATACAATTCATACTATTTGAGTTTAGGGTAATTAATCCACTAAACATGAAAATAAGCGATTCATAATTGAATATCAAAGTTCCAGAACCCTATATAATAAACTACAAACATATATTTGCATTATGGGCTTGTGAAGATTGTTAAGTTACACATTTTTGAAACCATGAATCGATCAATGTTAGACCACCATTAGAAACCTACAAGCACTGGACGGCCGTTTCGTCCTGGTATGGGACTCCTACGTGAATTGATCATGTTAGACATTAACACCGTTAGATACCGGCTCAGTGGTCCGATGGTTAGGCGTTCGCTCACAATACCGAAGGTCCTGGGTTCAAATCCTGCGAGGTGCAGGAGTCGTGGATGCGCACTGCTGAGGAGTCCCATACCAGGACGAAATGGCCGTCCAGTGCTTCCAGGTTTCTAATGGTAGTCTACCATAGATTGATTCATGGTTTCAAAAATGTGTGAATATATATTTTTTGAAAAATACTCATTTTATGTTTCATCCTAATATTATCACTGAATGTGGCAGTTTTTGAATTCAATCAAAACTTTTTGGCACTTTTATTACTATTTTTTTCAGATAAGAAGTCTTAAACTGAAAATTCTTCCACATGTTGAAGCATATCCATCCGAAAGTAATAAACGTCGATTATATTTACTACTTCTGATTGCATTAATTCAACCATTCATGATGTGGTGGCTGACACGTCGTGTTATCTTGTAAAAGGAGACATGAAAAAAAAATAAACTGCGCTGCTTCCATAACATAACTACACACTTGATAAAAAATCTGTGTATAAATATAAAGTTTCTGTATTTATTGTTTAAATCATATTCTCTCACTCTTGTTATTTTAATATTTTAAATATTTATAGTTGTTGTTTATTCAAGGTGAGAAATTTCTTTTCTTTTTTTTCCAACTAACCAATTATCATTACTCTTAGAAAACTAATGAAAAAAAAATATTGTAAAAGATTAATTATTATTATTATTATTATTTCTATTTGAGATAATTTTAATGATGCAATTTTGCATGTCAGCATTTTTTGTTGTTGTTGGTAATGCTGCGGTTTTGTGTGTACACATCTGGGTGTTGGTTCATTCAATAATGTAAGAGAATGAGTTCTTGTGTGTATGTAATATATACTATGTTTTCCGGATTCAATAATTTGCTGCCCATATTGTTTATTTCTGCTGCATACATCATTATAAATAATAAGGAAAAATATAGATTAGTGGTGTTTTTTTTTTCAATCAACTTTCTTTTAAGAAAATAGTTGAATAAACATTTTCCTTGAATTAACATGAGTTGTTTTTTGTTGTTGTTGTTGTGATTACTTTGATTGAAAGAGGTTATTTTTATTTTGGCTATGTCTGCACTAATTAAAGATATGAATGGATATGAGCAAATCAAATGTAGACTAGTGGTACAATAATAATAATAATAGGATAGCTAACTAATTCTCTGATAGCCAGTCTACCTCCTAACTAGAGTTGAAAGTTCGAAGTTGTTAGCAAGAAGACTGTTATTATCTACAAGCAACCCCGATCGAATGAATTATTGACAAGCATTCAATTCGACCGCAATATATACAGTAAATAAAAGTGTCCTTGGGATAGTTAGAGAATAGCACACTAAAAGTGGAAACTAACCAATGGGGTTTAAGGTTCTTCCAAGTGGGAAACAAAAACTGGAGATATTAAGGGGCGTTTTTGGCACGAAAATAAGAAGTTCAAATTTCCAATAATAAAATACAATATTAAGAGGATTACTAAACGATTTCTGGGGATCTAACAACCCTACAGTTTTAACTGATTATGAGAATGCTAAATAAATCAGTATCAAACCTTTTTTATACATGGCGAATATATACTATACTGTTGATTTTCACCTACTCTGAAACATTTCATACTATATTTTGACCGGTAAATAAACAAGTTATCAAAATGGAAATTCAACCATCACAAAACGAATTCATTCAAAGATAAATCCAGTTGATGTGTAAGTCCTAAATATGCGTGTATGCGCCTTCGCACTGCTTTGACAATACCTATGTACCGAATTCTTGAAAGGTCGTTGAAATAGTGTTATAAGAATACAACCCGAGATATGAATTTCCTAACTATTTCATTCATCATTTCGTATGGAGGAAATTTGTAGCTCTGCTGGATGATTGCGATGGAGTTTCGTCCTCTGAGCTGGATGTCTTGGTTTTAGAGCTTTCATTGTTCTTATAAACAACATCATCAGCACAAACTTCATTTCATTTAGTCAGTTACAACGTAGAACTTCGTACGTAAGTACATCAGTTCAAGTTTCCATACCACATTAGAACAGAGATGCAATTGTCAATTCAAATCCCATAGTAGTAGATGTGGTAGAAGTATTAGCAGTAGTCGCAAATTTTAAGGTTCTACGGTATAATTCAAGTAGAATCTGGTGAAATAAACTTAAAAGGAAAAGATTAAGTTGATGAGGATATCTGAAGGTAAAGATTTGAGAGAACACAGAATGAATGCACTTACACCATTGCAAACGGTCAAGACCCATGTTATTCAGGGTCTAACCATCGATTACTAACATCTCGCGGACCCCAACCAGGTAGTTGACACCTACCGACATGATTCAGTCTACTTGTCAGTGACTTCATTGGATTTCTGACATGTTTTGGTCTGGCCGCCCCTAAATTTCTTGCAACCTATTCCTACACCACAAAACATAGATCGACGAGGCATTCGGTGGTTAGACATGTGCAACAGATGTCCCAACCACCTCAACCGATAGAGTTTCACTAGTTCATCTGTTGATCTGCCATCCTCACGTTGTACCCGTTTCCTAACAACAGCATTGCTTACTCGGTTGTCCCACGATACACGAGCTATGATTCGAAGACACCTATGATCGAAAACCAGTAACCTACAAATATCTTCCACTCTGGCTGGCCATGTTTCGCATCCATGGAGTAGGACGGAGCAAACTACTGCGCAGTAGACTCGACCTCTGGTTAGCAAACGGGTTTCTCGCCTTCACCATAAGTGACGCAAGTTGTCAAAAGCCAATCGAGCCTTCTGTATCCGTGCTGAGATTTCATCAGTCATCAGCATTGATGAGACTCCCGAGATAAATGAAGCGGTCAACATGCTCAATTGCTTCTCTTACTGTTACTGGTTCAGGTGTCGACGCAAGCCAATCTTGAAGCAACATTTTGCATGTCGAGGGGGAGAACCGTATCCCGAACAGGCTTGCATTGTTGCTTTGGGTAGTCAGAAGACTGCATTTTCTTAGCGTCTTCACCAAGTGGAACTATGGCATCGGCATACTCTAAGTCAGCAGGCGTTTCTCTTTGTAGAAGGTCCACCCTGGTTTGACTGAATTGATCCTTGAAGTTTCCTGCGCATCAATCCAATCTCCTGGGTTGAGAATGAATAATATGTCCATCCTCTTCCTGGACAGTTTCGCTAACAGATGGATCTTTAATTCCGGTTTCCTTGATAAGGCGGAACAGTTGTCTGCTGTGACCTAACGCCGCTACCTTTTACATCATCTCTCTAGCTTTGGCTACCCACCAATGTTCGCGATCATTGCGTAGGCTTTTTATCAGCCTGCGCTTAAGCTGATTTCTCTCTTCGTCAGGTGGGATGAGTTACGAGCGTCTCTCAGTTCGATGGATGCTACGGAGTCCATGGCTTATCCCTAACCTTATAGTTTACCTTACTAGCAGATATCACTTGTGTTTCCTCGGCTTTCTGTATATCGTTACACGCTGTCTCCGGATGGTAATCACTTACATAGTCACCACACTGTCTTCCTAGTTTTTCCTGAAATATATTACTTGCTGTGCTATAATTAAGTAGAACCCTAAGAGGCTCCCTTGTGGTGTCTTTCCTACGTCCAGTAAGCCTCAAGCAAATACGCACTCGCACTAGAGCATGGTCTGAGTCAAAACAAGTGCTTCAGAATGAGTGGCAGTCTTCAATAGAGCATCTCCACCGAAGGCTTATAGCGATGTGATCTAGTTGGGTCCATCATTGAGACGACTTTGAGGGTGGCCAGGTCAGAGATATTTTTGCTTATGCTTAAAGTTAGTGTTTGCTAGAAATAGGGATTATTTGAGCATAGCTGTAACAGACGGTCGCCATAATCTGTTCTGTTAGCCACCACACGAAAAGATCCTCAGGTGTCTTTCCTTTTCTCTTAGTCTATATACTTGAGCATTAAAGTCACCAGCCATTATTACTCTATCAGAGAGCTTAACTTTTTGTAAGAGGTCTGAAAGCTTTCTGTGGAACTCATCTTTCACCTCGTCTGAACTGCAGTCAGAAGGAGCATTGGCAGATAGGATGAAGAGGCAACGGCGAGTGTCCCTATCAAGTGGAGGAACTAACAAACGGATTGTCCAACCATAAATAAACGATATCGGAAACTTCAGCTCGAATACTGAGACTATTTGAAATAAAGGTGTAGCACACAAACCAACTGAATCGCTTCAATCAATACTATGTAAACCAAACGACAAAAGAAGAAAAACCAAATATCCACCATAAAATAAATTGCTCAGACTGTGAAAAACACAACATAGAACAAATTGGACGTCCCCTTCAGCTTCGTCTGCGTGAACATGAAGTAGCAATTAAACGCTATGAAATTTCTTCTTTTATATCAATACATATGGACAACTATGGACATACGTTTGACTGGAACAATGTTCAAATACTGGATATGGGGAGCACAAAGAACACTAGGGAATTTTTACACGCTTGGCACTTAAGTCAATCAACAAACTCATCGACATTGACCAAATATATTAACTCATCAGAAAAATCATAAGCAAATGTAGGATCAGGAAAGAGACCAAACTGGGATACAATCAAAACAAAGGTGCAAACGACAACGGTTAATAACAACCAATCAAAACCAAGGTCAACAGAAGAAGCTACAAGTCATATGTGGAGAAATTCGAATACTTCACTTCTAAATGAAGTTTGTGCTGCTGATGATGTTGTTCATAAGAACAGTGAAAGCTCTACAACCAAAACATTAAGTTCAGAGAACGAAGCTCTATCATAAGTACCTATCATTTTATGCACCAGTAATTGACATGAACTTTTTGAGAGTTTCTTTTCAACAAGTTATTATCACAATTAGTAGTAGTAGTATCTACTTCTGGATGAAGAACTCTGTGTAATTTCGCTTTCGTATTGTCATTTCCATTATTAATGACATTAATTCTAACTTGTTTTACACACCAGCAAAATATACGTCTTACTGAACTGTTAAAGAGGTGAATGACATACTGACCCTACTTTTAGAATTTCAGCCCTATCTTTATACTGAATGACCTATATACACATAGAGTACAGTTTTATCGTGTACTTTACTTGCCCCTTATAATTAGTTTACCATAAATTCTAATAATTACAAAAGTTTCTGAATAAAATTACAGCTCTGTTATGGTTATCTGCATAACAATGTTACATTACCCTTTGACTTGTTTATTGATTATTATATTGATTTATCATCATAAAAGTGAATGCAATCGAAGAAGTATGGTTAATTATGTGATACAAAAATGAATTGATTTCAAAAGTAAGTGTTATAAGATTGATTACAGATCATGCCAATGACTCATTAATTTAAATGTTTCATAGACTGACTGAATGAATAGAAGTTAACCATCAAAGAAAACAAATGATGATTACAATAGTTTTGTTTTTTTTTTGATTATTACGTAACATAAGGATAAAGAAGATAACCAGAAAGACTACTATACATATGTCCATGTAAACGATATGCTTCATCTCTACACTCCAACCAGATTTGATCATTTTTATTCAATTGTATAATGGCTTGATTAGTTACAGTTGACCAAAATGTACTTTCACACCATGAAAGTAAAACAACTTGACCATTTTGTAATAATCGTACACCTGCCTAAATATAATTTTGATGAATAAGAAAAAAAGATTGTTTAAAGACATACAAGAGTTACATATGATGAATTGTAATTATTATTGAGTAATATGTGATCGATAAGTAGTAGCATAATGTTGAAAGTGCTCTATGTCTCAAAAGTTTGTGACTCAGTATTTACGAAATATTTCAGTTATCATCTCGATAAAACCCGTCAGTGTTGTGTGTTTTTATACCGAGCCCATTGGGCTTGTCCCAGCCTTCGGATAAATTAATTAATCCACTATTCTCGAGTTATTATTCATACATCTTTCGAGCTTGTCAATTATTCGCTTGTATCCTGATTGTTTCTATCCAAGTGTGTATGCAGCTTACTTTGTTTAGTACATGTTTAGTTTATTTCGTCTGGCTATAAACACACAGTCAAGCTTCATCTCATAGAGTTGACTCGCTCGACTTCTAGATTTTGCTTGTCTGCTTGCACAAACAATTGCTTGAAATAAACTCATCCAACGGGATCCATATTTAGCTTGTACAAACGGAGTTCGCCTAAGTATGAAGGGAAGATTTATTTCATCGCATACTCAACTGTCTGTACAAAAAGGAGTCAGATCGCGAGTCACTAAAGTGGTGAACCCTACTTCGAATTAATCGGATTACTTGAAATCATGCTAACCCTCCTTTCTAAGCATAAAATCAAAAAGATGAATCCAGATTTTAGAAAATCAGTTTATTCTAGCCACTTACTTTAAAATCTATCTTATGTAGTAGACTTCATGTAATAAGGTCACCGATTAATAGTATTTTACTTAGCTTAATATGAATGCATAGTTTGCTTCATCGCAAATCTGCGGATTTTGTGGTGTAAACATTGAATATTTAACTCTTTGGACACAGTTTAGGATTCTGCTTTTTACTTATTTCGGTGTAGGTCACCTTATCGTATTTTCAAACCTCGCGAAATATTTAGTCCAAAGCCTTGCGTGCTAACACATAATAGATTAATGGCTAGCATATAAAATATCCTTTTAAAATCTCTCTAGTCGAATAAGGTATACAAATCGGTATCCAAGTAGCATTTTCTGAAGTATGAACGATTGGCTATAGCCTGGGACACTTAACGGTAGTCTTTCTAGCTGCTTCAACAAATGACATATAAACTGATCTCCAAGCTATCACCAATTCCTTAATTATTACGAACGCATCTTGTTGACGATTGTTAGTACGTTCGAAGCCTAGTGTATTCTGTCAGTGAACTATGACCGCATACAAAGTTCATCTATAGACCACAGAGTGTGAAAATATTTCATAAATTTTAAAGTTTGTTCGACTATTAATAGTAGACTATAAGTGTTTTATTAAAATATCAAAATATAAAATGCAGTAAATATGTTACGAGAGGATTTTGAAGAAAATAGTAATACGATTGATAAGTGTTATCATATTTTGACACAGCACTTTAGTAGTATGAGTTGTATATATTCTCCGACAAACTACTGTTCAATCATATAGGCTTGAAAAACAAAATAAACCGAAAAAAAATGCTAAATGAGGAATAAATTGAATTTCTTCACTAAAAATAACCTAATATTTACGAAAACTCAATGATCTAGCTAATCGTAAACGAAAATTAGTAGAAGGCTCGAATTCATCTTACATACACGTGGTGAATGTTAGCTCTTCCTTATGATAGTAGATATCGATGTGTTAATTAACATCTTGAAGTATGTGAACATATGTACATTTATAGTAATAGTTTGAGATTTTACTGAAATATGGTTCAATGTTAAAGCAGTCGTAATCTGCGCCTATAGCCCTTCTGGGGCTACCGCTGGTCGCAAGCCCGGATAAAGGAGGAAGGTTGGGCATGAGGTTAGCAACCATATCCAGTAGAAAACTAACTCCTTCAAAAAGCATTAACCATAAAAAAATAATTAAAGTCATTTAAAATCTGCGCTGGGAGTTGGAAGGTATTCATTTAAAAGAGCTATCACTCCTCATGATGAAATCCGAGTTTCTTCGAAAATCACGAGGCCGATGCCCCTTCTGACAACCAGAGTAACCATTAATTTAGGTACATGGAATCTTCGTACATTGTAGGGAACAGAGAAAGTTATCCAATTTGCTGCAGAAATGAGGAGATACAAGCTGATGGTAACTGGAATCAGTGAAACAGGTTGGATAGAAAAGACTAGCTTCAGGAGATTTACTGTTATACTCGGGTCATGAGGAAGAAAATGCTCCACACACACAAAGAGTTTCACTTATTCTATCTGTACGCTGCTAGATCATGGCAACTATTAACATAGAATGTATACACTTTATTTAATTGATAATTTGGTCTGTTTATTACTAAATCCGAGTTTATTTTTATTGGTTGTTATATTATGACAGCATTACTGCGCCAATAACTGAGCATTGATGTTTACCAGGTCTTATCGTAACATGAAATAGTTAAACACTTATCTGAATTACATATAATACATTCAAGAAAATTGTGATAAAAACCTTCAAACTGATATTCTACTACTTAATTAATAACAAGAATGTGCAAAAGTTTCCGGAGATTTTCCGTCAAGTGTAATTTGCTTGGTGCATGATGTGCTTTGTTGTATCGAAGTGTTACGGCATTTGATTCAATGTAGGGCTCACTACTTTGGTGGCCCACTATCCGGTTCTAATATTTATGAACATTTAAATATGCTATGAAATAAATCCCCTCATCAGTTTCCGTAGATTATAATTAGGCGAACCCCGTTTGTGCGACGGCGGTAATTAGAAGTCAAATACGGATTTGGTTGGATGAGTTTATTTCAGACATGAGAACGAAAAGCATACAAGCAAAGCAAAGCGAAGTGAATTGAAGTGGAGAAGGCGAGAGAACCAACTCCGTTCGATTAAGCATGACTAAGAATTTATAGTCAGATAAAAATGAGCCAGACATGTAACAAGCCAGATCGACGTGTACACACACGAATAAAAGCAACACTGATATGAGCGAATGACTGATAAGTTGAAAAGACAAGCGGGCTAATTAATTTGTCCAAAAGCTAGGACGAGCTCTGTGAGCTAGACATAACAGCACTCATTAAAGAAGTATCTTACTTTTTCCTTTGTATATGTTGAGACCTACTGTTGCATAGGTTGCTGCTACACCAGCCGTCTTCTCCTGAACTTGTTTTTGTGTGTAAGATGGAATGGCTAGATCATGCATGAATTCCAAATCTTCCGTCTGCTTTCGAGCTGTCCATTGTATTCTGTGCTTCCAGTGAGATGTTAACGTTTTCATAATCCAGTCAATCATCAGAATAAAGACTAAAGGTGAGAGTAAGTAACCTTGTTCGACATCGGTCTTCGTTACTATACCAGACAATAGACGTATACCCACTTACCATTTCCGTCCCAATAAAAAATATTTTGTCTTGTGAAGTTCAAGTATGTGAATCATGATACAGCTGCCAACTCATGTCATACAATCACACATTCGTCGCAGTTGCGAACGTGGCTCCTTAAATGTAAAATCAGTAATCTAAAGATAGTTCACTTTCCATGTAACATGATGAGAATTACATTGACTTTGAATTTATCAGTGTAGACAGAGTATGAGTCCAAAATCAGAGCCGAAACAGCCACCCAGTTCTACCGCAAGTTTTTATTAGTTTTCTAGCTGTTATTATAACTTACTGAAATGTCTCTCTTATTGAAAATTTCATCGTATCAATCATATAGTCTATCCAACACATCGTTTTCTTGTTTCAACTTAGCGGCAAATTAAAGAAGCTTAATTTCTTTTTGTAAAACTCTTTTATTTATTTCAAAAACCGAGAAAGGAAGTAAGAAGCTGACAGTTTAAAAAAGTGAATTTTTCTCCGAATGCAATTAAAAAAAACAAAACAGATTTCGTTTTATTATTTCTAGTGAAAATTGTTCACTGTGTGTATGTATGTATGCGTATGTGTACACATCATCTTCTTTTCTTTTCTAACAGCTTATAATTTGATAGACTTGAACACGTTAGAAAAACATTAGTCAAAATTTGTCATTTATTTTCGATTGTTTATATCACGAGGGGGCTGAATTACATTGTACTACAAGCTAATATAACATTGAATACAGTGGAACCCTTAGTGTGTGTGTGTCTATATATATATATATATATATATATATATATAGATAGATAGATAGATAGATAGATAGATAGATAAATGCATTTTTTTATACGCTTATGAATAGTTGAATATTTTTGCTGTAATGTACAAATAATGTCATGATATGATCAGTGGTGAGACTAGGGGAATGATAAAACCAATCTGTTTATTCGACTATATACATATATACATATTGATAGGGAAGGAATATATAGACGTTTGTTTTATTTTAATGTAATTTAATGTGTATTACTTTTTTTTTAGGTTATCTTCATTGAGAATCAATTTATTCATTTACTACTGTCATTGATAGTTTCAATAGTTTATGTGTTTGTTTGTTTGTTTGTTGGTGTCGAATTGAATCTTGAACCATTGAGGAGTGATGATATTTTCTTTGCGTGATTAAGTTTAGTTTTTCGTCTAGCATATGTGATTATTATTATTTTTCCTTTTTTTTTTGTTGAGAAATTTTATTATATCTATTCTTTATTATTTTTTTTTGCTTCTAAAATAAAAGTTTGTTTTAATCAAGTTGTACAGAAATTTAAATCATACTCAAAATAAATAAATAAACATTTCTATTCTTTGAGAGAAAAAATGCAATGAATAGAGATATTTGGCGAATTTTATTTTATTTTTCAAAAAGGAAGGAGACCAAATTCTATGTGATTTTATTCAATGTTTACTGTAGGATGAAAACTGAGGTTTGGATTGAGGAATAACAACTGTCTAGGTAGATTAGATATGCGTCTTGACCAGTTTAAATCGAAAACAAGTGATTTGGGTAAATAACGATTCTAATATTCATCATAAATATAAATATATACATCATTACCTAAATAAATATTACCACTCAGTTATTCCACCAACAAT